GGGCGCAGCTCCGGGGAACCGGGCTTCAGGCTGAGCTCGGGGCAGGGGCTGGGGTGCTCGGAGGTCCCGGGTACGTGCCCTAAAGATCAGCCTCCTCCCTGCTGCTCTCGGCGATCCTCTCCCACGCGCTGCTGACTCTGCCCGGGTTTGGTTCAGGCCCAGCGCTCCCGCCTGAGCAAAATCAAAGCTTCCCGACCAGGCCACTCACTAGCCAGCGAGGCCTGGACTTAATTTGGTAGGAGGCAGGGACAAGCGCACACTTCCTTTAGGGTCTGGATGCAAGTTCTCCCTGTAGAACTAGTTCAAAAAGAAATGTTGTGTTTTCCGTTGATCAGGATGTGGTCAACAACCGAAAAAAATGTTTTTGTAAAAAATTGGCACGTCGCCATCACCCCCAAGGATGTGGAAGTGTGCTGAGGAGTGGCCCATTTTCACGTGGGCCTCAATGGAAACTTCTGGTATTTTTTTCTAAATTCAAATTAGTTCTACATTTAAATCATTCTTTAGTAGTGGCAAGTTATTTTCAGTGCTTTTGAATTCACTTCGTTGTTCAGAAAACTTTGCTTTGCTGTTGTGACCTCTGTTGCGTTTGTGTCTAAAAAGAGAAGCAGGATATAACCGGACTTCTTCCGGGCGTGGGGAAGGTTAGGTGTTACCAAGAGCAGCCCGAGGAAGATTCACTGAAGAGACTGACTGTGAACAGTAATCTGGTGAGATGTCAAAAAGGAAAACCCTTTTTAAGGCTGTAAGGAATACAGTCAAGTATGAGAAAGTTCTTTAAAACCTTTACCTCTGTGGTGTAAACCTGTATTCAACTGCCTGCCTGAAATTTTCTCTTGGATATCTCGGAGGCATCATGAATTAAACATTTTTTAAAGTGAATGTAAGATTCTTTCTCTCGGTTTAAAATCTCCGTCTCCAAAAAAGGTACCCCTAAACGCCAGATTTCATTCTAGAAAAGGTAGCTGCGTCTGATGTCCACTGTTCTGTCCTTCACCCCCACTTTCGGGCACCCCCCGCCCCCACGCACAGTGAATCCATTCTCAAAGCCACGCCCCCGTGGCGCTAGCCTACCTTGAGTGGCTGCTGAAACTAACTCCACTTTTGCTGTTTTCTACCCTCTATTCAGCAGCCAAAGCGATTTTATTGAAAAGTGCATCGGATCCTAAGACTTAACTCTAAGCCCTTCTAGTGGGTTCTCCTGGCCCTTAGGACGCGTCGCTAATCCTTAACAAGCCTGCAGGGCCCTGTGGGTCTGACTTCCGCCTGCCTCGCCAGGTGCCACCCCTCCCCACACTGCATTTCCTGTTCGCTGGGCTTCCTGAGCTGGGCTTTCTACTGCCTCAGCCTGCCTGTGAATATGTGTGCCGTGCCTCTTCTGTGGACACTTTCCTTCTGCTTTGTCCTTTAAGTCTCATGGGAAAGCCGTCTTCACAGTGACATTGGCCTGTTGTTATTCTCTCTCTTTTTCTAGTAGTGGATTGAACCCATGGCCTTTGCACTGATCTGCATTCCCAGCCTCCCCTCCCTTTTTTCCTACTTTGAAACAGGATTCCACCAAGCTACTAAGTGCCCAGGCTAGGTTTGAATTCTCCATCCTCCTGCCTCAGCCTCCCACAATGCTAGCATTACAGAAATGTACTACCATGCCCCAATATGACTCTTTTAGTGTGTGTGTGTGTGTGTGTGTATGTGTGTGTATATGAAGGAATACATACACACACATACAACCATCGGCCATGTAGACATAGATTAATGTAAACATATTAAAAAGCTACCCCTCATGTGATACAGGGACCTTCACTGTCTAGTATTGCTGGTATTCAACAATACAAGTCATAGAATGGACCCTAAATAAATATTTGTGGAATAAATGAAATTCTTTGAACTTTTAAATCTTTACAACATTCCTAGGAGGGAGGTGCCAGGTTTATTATCTAGTTTCACACATAATGAAAATGAAAGTGGGGTTAAATAACTTCCCAAGGTCACGTAGGACGTGGCTGAGCGAGAACTCAGGTTTTCTCTCTTGTCTGTATGTGCAGTACACATCTATAATTATGTATGCGTGTGTGTGTGTGTGTGTGTGTGTGAGAGAGAGAGAGTATATCTTCACATTTGTAGAAAAATAGCAGAGGCTAATTCTTGGAGTTCTTAAATAAACCGGTGTGCCTTGGGAGTCTGGGGAACATGCAAAGGAAAAATGAGTAGTATCCCATGGGAAATGAGACAGCGGAAAGAGGAAGGTTTAAGAGAACCTGGCCAGGTATGAAATGTGTCAGTATGTAACCACACAGGCTATAATCGCACTTGCATACTCCTTCCTGTGAACTTGGCTGCCTTACATGAATGTTTCTTTGTTTCAGTTTCACCACCTCCAAAATGGGAATTACAGCCCACAGGAGAGGCGGGACACACATGTGCAGTGCCTGGCACTCTGTAGGTGCATAGCAAATGTTAGTTCTATCTTTGATTCTGTTCCTTTAGGGGTTATTGGAATATAACTTCCAGAAAAGTTGCACTTTTCTTGGGAAGGCACTGCATATACTGGTTCTGCGAGCCCTTGTTTTGAGTTGCATTCATTTTGGAGAATTAATAAAAAAACTTGACTCCTAGAGAACATCTAGAACTGTGAAATGCTTTGTTTCAAGCTTAGCAGTAGAAGCAAAACCAGATAAAAAGAGCTTATGTTTTGAGGAAAGAGCTAAACACACTGGAATATGATCACAGATTGTAAGGGATCACAAGAGAATTTCATCTGTGATATACAGAAATCACAGCACGGTTTTGCTCGAGTCCTGCTTATGTGCAAGACGTAGTTCCGGGTGCTGCGGGAAGTACAGCGATGCATAGGATCACAAGGCAGGGCGTAGTAAGATGTGATAAAAAGAACATGGAAGTGTGAGTTTCAAAGGAAGAATAATTCACCTCAGCCTGGAATATTCAAAGAAGAGTTCCCACAAATGCCTCATTTGAATTGGACGTTGAATGACTGGAGAAAGTTGTTGTAGAGAGAACCCTTGAGGAAAGATGTGGATAGAGAGAGGTTTGGGCACTTTTGGGAAACACCCAGAGTCCGTAGTGAGTCCTAGGATGCATATGGGTGGGGCTATTTAAGATACAACGCAGCTTTGGTGTCCCAGCCTACAGGAAGCAGGGGGCGGGGTGGGGGCTGAAAAACTATGTTTTAGGGAAATTGCTCCTCTTGATGACTTAGAAGAGGAAACTGCATCTCAATGACTCAGTCTCAAGCATTCAGTGAATGCCTGTGATGTACCACATCAATAAGACAGGATCTTTGCCTTGAGGAGCTTATAATTTAGTAAAGAGAAACAGACATATAAAAAATTAAGTCCACTAAAATGTTACAGGTTTGAAGATAGACTCTGCCCAGGATTCAATAGAATACTGAATGGAGTGCATTAAAATGCTTGTTGCCAACTGTAAAATTCTTCCTGCTTGCTAAATCAATACAGTGTAGGTAATTTTCCTTTTAGGAAAGACCTAGTACTTACGGAAGTTTGGTTCATTTATGCATTGAATGTGGGTAAATACATTCGGACATTTAGGCTGTCTATATCGCATTCCTGTTTGGCTTTCTGGATTGAAAACCCCCTTGAGATAACACCATATTCTCTTTGGCCTCATCATGGAGCAAAACTTGCAAAGTCTTTGATGTGAAGCCCCATCACCCATCCCTGCAGCAGCCTATGAGCCTTTCTGTCAGTCCAGGGGCCCTTGGAATTTTGAGAGCTTTTATTGGACTACTGGAGGACTCCTAGAGCACTCACAGGCGTGAACCTTGCCCTGTTCACAGAGCTGTCTGTTTTCTTGGAGCAAGGGCAGTACCCAGTAAGTCGCTGCTGCCAGGAATTCCAGATAGAAACAGTACACAGGTTCCCTTTGCTTTCTGGTCCCCAACTTCAAGGGAAATTCATTTGTCCCTCCCCTAGAATTCTGCTTGAAGAGATAGAGGCAGACACTCGTTACCATGGTGGTATTTAAAGATTGTTCTTCTTCTCTAAATTGCTCCCCTTCTCCATGGCTAGAAGCATCCCTTAGTTGATTTCCAGGCAAAAAGACAGAAAAAAACAAGCAAAGCACTTGGAAACCTGTTTCCCCTGTTCACATCTCCTTTCTTTTTCCTCTGGGTGGTGCATTTTGAACTGGGGTGGTGAAGTCTCCAGCTTGACCTCTGAGGTGGATTTATCCTTCCTGTCTAGGGGGGACTAGGTGCTTTTGGCTGTGTATTGGGCAAGGGAGATGGATAGGCAGTGAGTGCGGAGGGGAGGGCGCACATCAGGTATTGCTCTGAAGTAGTGTCCGGACATGCAGGGCTTAGGAGATAAAGCCAGACGTGACAAGGATTATGATGGAAGTTCTCAACCCTGGCCTCTCAGTAGAATCTCTGGGATATTAAAAAGGATTTGTTGATCTTATCAACAGAGATTTCAGTTTAATTATTGTCCATAAGGATTTGGGCATCAGGAATTTGGAAAACTTCCTAGGTAATACATGCCATAGTTGAGAACCACTCACATCTTAGAAAGGGAAAATTCTGTGTACTGTAATCCTTTCAAGAAATCTGCAATTCAGGATTACTACTTTTCTTATATAGTCTGAATGTGTACGGGTCAAAGGAATTTGAGGGAATTAGAACAAATTATCTGAGCTCCCTTAATAGGAGTCCCTCCTGGCAAGCATCCATTAGAGAGCTGTGTTTGTGTATAAGAAAAGAATTATGCCTGATTCTCCGAGCATAAATTTCCAACTCTTAAAATTCACATTGGTTTTATATCCCTTGCCTTTTAAAATGAAGTGCAACATATGGTCCGCAGCATGACTTCCAGCATGCTTTGAGCATTACCTTGGAATCATTTCCCTCCTTCCCTTGAGAATAACCATTCTCCTTCAAGTCTTTGGAGGGTCCCTTCTGTCCACATCCAGTTGTCTATTTCCTCCCTTTGTGCTTTAGTTCCTACCCTGGTTACTCCACCTGCAATTCTTCCAAGACTCCACTTCATTTCCAAATCAGCCTGTCCTTCCAGCCACCCAGAGGCTGGTCTTGAATGAGGACCCTGCAGAGTCACTAGAGGCAGAATCACTCGCTGTGGAAATAGCATTCCACTCTTCGCAGTAGCACCTGTCCTTGTTATCCTTACAGTCCTCTATGTTTCTGTACCATGTGTTATTATTTGTGCGTAAATGTTTTCTGTCCTCCTCGAGTTTGAAGTCCTCAAGGGCAATGCCCGTGACCTGTGTTACTATATTCTACACGGATACTCAGCACACAGTCTCATGTATAGTAGGTCTCAATACCTATTTGTTGAGAGAGAATCCTGGTGGTTGATAAGTTTGTCACAAATTATTGTGACAAGCACCCTGAACTCTTTAAGTCACTCTTGGATAAATAAATATTAAATTAACTTTTGGCATAGCAATTTGACAAAGGCACTCATGTGATTGAAGGTCGCTGCTGTGGATGCTTGCCTTTTGCCTTCCTCACTGTTCAACATCTAAGTCTCTTTCCCGTGCTTCCTGTGCTTTATAAATTCTCTCCTTTGTGAGGCTTGCTAGTAACCAGGTCCTGCCTCCCACCACTGAAGCTGAGAAGCACATCCCGTACTGCCTCTGCTCCCCTCCTTGGTACTGTGGACACCACCTCAGTTCAGACGTGAGACTTCAGAGTGGGTACTTGAAGCTCAAAAAAATGATGCAGAGTTGCAGGGGCAGTGGGGACCTCATTCTAGTCAGGACACAGGAACGGGAGCCCCTGATTCCTGGAACAGTAGACAACTTCTAATGAGGTACAGTGCCAGTGAGGGTCTTCCATCAGATGCTCCCCCGATGTGCTTTCTGTTGCCCATCTTTGCCTGTTTATGAACCTAGTTTCCCCAAATTCCTGCAACTCTTGAACCATGATTGAATTACTTGGCATCTTCTAATAATTTGTCTTTTGCCTTCATCAACTATAACTTGTTCTACTGCATTTGACAAAGAACCCGGCTGCTAACATTAACCACTGAAAGACAAATGGTGCATTCCAACAGGTATTAGTATTGTTACTAACCGTTACGTTCTCTTCTCTGTTGATGGATAACATAAGGAAGGTAATTTTACTTTCAGGAAAATACCTAGTACTTTTGGAAGTTTGTATCTATATCTGTTAAAGCCGGGTAGATAAATCATGATAGAAGGTATTTGATAACACTTTAATGACTTTTCATTCTGCTTTTATACATTTCTGGTTCTAGGCAGTTTGGGCAGGAAGATGGAGCCTCTGGTTCTGAGGTGGCCACTTGCAAGCATGCCATTTCCGCTTCCCTCACTACTGACTCTCTTAGCCGTGTCAACTCTTTCATGGTGTCAGAACAGTGACACTGCATCTCCAGAAGCTAGCGATGGATCTCCATTTCCTTGGAACAAAATGCGACTTCCTGAGTATGTCGTCCCAGTTCATTATGATCTCATGATCCATGCAAACCTCAGCACGCTCACTTTCAGGGGCACCACGGAAATAGAAGTCACAGCCAGCCAGCCCACTAGTGCCATTGTCCTGCATAGTCACAACCTGCAAATTTCTAAAGCCACCCTCAGGAGAGGAGCGGGACAGCAGCCAGCGGAAGAATCACTGAGGGTCCTGGAATATCCCCCTTATGAACAAGTTGCTCTTTTAGCCCTTGAGCCCCTCCTCGTTGGGCTTCCGTATACAATTGTCATTGACTATGCTGCCAATCTGTCTGAGACGTTCCATGGATTCTATAAAAGCACCTACAGAACCAAGAAGGGGGAAGTGAGGTAAGTTAAACATTCTTAAGTTTCAAGTGCTGCCCGTATTATATTATTTTACATTGTTTGCTTTTAAAGCTCTCTTTGGTGTTGTTTTTTTGCATTTTCTTTATAATGTTAAAAATGACCAGTATTTTTTCCTTGCTTTTTAAAATCTCATTTTCCATTTTATATTAAAAAGGTTGCCTTTCCTCCTGCTCTATCAGACAGCTATCTCTTTGTTTATTGAATTAGATTTGAGGCATACTAAGTATTTCTAATTCTTTTTGTTATGCGTTGGTTTCCTAGGATTGTGGTAATAAAGTACCAGAAACTGTGCCTCTTTATAAAAGCAGACAGCGGGGCTGGGGATTTAGCTCAGCGGCACAGTGCCTGCCTGGCAAGCGCAAGGTTGTGAGTTCGATTCCCGGTACCGGAGAAAAACCAAAAAAAAAAAAAACAAAAACAAAAACAAAAAAATAAAAAAACAAAAAAGCAGACAGAATGCCAGCATGGTGCTGTGTGCCTATATTCCTAGCACTCTGTGAGGCAGAGGAAGGAGGGTCACAAGTTTCCTGGTCAACTTAACAACTTAGTAAGACCCTGTCTAAAAATAAAAATACAGAAAATTTTAAAGAGTTGGGGAAACAGCAAGGTGCAGAGATACTAGGTTCAGTCTCCAGGACCATAAAAAGTGGGGAAAGGGGCATTTATTTTCTCAAAGTTTTGGAGACAAGAAATCTGAAATCGAGGGGTCAGAACACTCAGTTCTTTCGGACTCTGGATTCAGTTCTTCTTGTTTCTTCCTAGCATCTGGTGGTGGCCATTTGGCTCTGTCCCTCCTTGCCTGTCAACTGCATCACTGCTGTGCCACAACACGACTGCTCCCTCTATCTTTCCTTGTGTCCATATTTTCATCATTTTATCAGGGTGCCATATCGAGGACTTGGCTTGAGTCCCCAATCCCCTAAAATGAGTTACAGTGAAGGTTTTAATAAAAGAGACAAATAGTACAGTTTTGTGGGAGTCCAGAAAGTCATAACTCCATAGGAGCTAAGACAAAGACTTCTCTGGACAGCCAGTGTTGGGTTTTGAAGCAGGTTGTGTGCAGAGAAGTGCAGGGCACATCTGAAGCAAAAGCCCATGAACATGAGCAGGCCTTGAGAAGTTAGAACAAAGACAGTGAATCTTGCCAATTAAGAAACTGTTTGATCTCTCAGGTTGGCAGTTTTAGTACTCTTAAATCCTTTGAGTGAGAGCCTTATGTTGTCTGTAGAGTCTGTGAATCCAGAGAGCACTGCAATCAGCAACTTAACCCTTACAAGGCTTGGACCCCACCAGTGCGAGACATATTGGGTGAAGGCCTAGCCTGAGGGCCTCATCTTAACTTTATTTCATCTGTGTAGACACTCTGTTTCCAAATAAGAAAGACAGTGGAGTTAAAGACATCAAAATACCATTTGAGGGGACACGGTTCAGCTCATACTGCCCACTAGGAGAAACATTTTCAGTTAAAACCTTGTTAGAGATTTCCATTGTCTTGTTTTGGTCCTGTTTTAAGGAGAAGATATATATTTTTTCTAATGAGCAGATGAATTTGAGAAATTTTATGCTAGATTTTAACATCAAAATTTCTTAGTAGATTATATTGATTTGATATTATTTTATCAAGTTGAGAGGTCAGATGCTACAAAAAGAATATTTAAAAAGTAAAGTGTGTGCCAAACAAAGCCCCCACGAAGAACCACTACTCCTGCTTCAGGGTTATATTCTTTCAGACTTATCTCCAGATTTGCATGTTATCTATGCATTTTACTACCTGTTTTACAAGAGAATTTTAAACATTTTTAATATCCTGGAAAGATGTTTTATGTCAATCACTATCATTACGCATGACTTTCATGGTTTTATTGAAATATGTTTATGTATTAATTTATGTAACTAGTCTCCCAAGTGTGGAAATTGTGTCCAACTTTTCAGTGTCAGAAATAATTTGATGAATGTTCTTGTAAATCATTTTTTATAATCCCTAGAAATAAAATTGGTAAGTCAAAGAATCAACAAACTTCTGTATTTTTTCACCACTAATCAATGCTATGTATTAGCATGGACTCTTTCTTATTTATATCACTGAAAGTTGAGAAACTTTTGATGTGGTTATTAATGGGTATTTCTTTTGTAAATTGCCTATTTATGACCTTTGCCTAAGATTCCACCTGGTCACTGGGTATTTTCTTATTAATGTTTTAAGAATTCACTAATTTTTAGGGTATTAACTCTTAACTCTTCCTCAGATATTTTTCTAGAAATCTCCCCAGTGGTTTAGGTGTCTTTTAACTTAGTTTATACAAGCATTTGTCATATGAAGTACTTTTTTCTTTTATGTTTTAAAAATACCCATTGAGTAATGAAATCCATCGGTCATATATTAACTTCAGAAGTTAAAAAAAGTGAACACTGATTTTGGAGACTCTGGTGCCTCATGCTCAATTTTACTTCCCTTTCTGTGATTGCAGGGTGCTTGCCTCCACACAGTTTGAACCCATTGCAGCTAGAATGGCCTTTCCCTGTTTTGATGAACCTGCCTTCAAAGCGAGTTTCGCCATCAGGATCAGAAGGGAGCCAAGGCACGTGGCCATCTCCAACATGCCTTTGGTGAGTCTGAAGTGTGTGTCCGTTCACAGGAAAATCTGGGAATTCGCTGTGGCTCCCACTACCCCCTGGAACAGTTACCATCCATTCGATTTTGTTTTGTATTATCCCCTCACAAGTAGTTGCTAAGTTTTCTTTTTCATTTCTGGCCTATGCATTTGTTTGTGTTAAAGTACAATGTATTTATAGTCAAAGAAAAAATTGCCCCTAAAAAATTCAAAGTTTCAGGAAGAATGACATTCCAGGTGATCAATGCTGATTAGAGGGAAATTGAGTAAAGAATTTGGGTGGGATTTAAAGGATTCTTGCCCTTTGCAAAACACTTTGATTCTTACTTCCTTATGTGATCTTTTAAGAGGGTTTTAAAGAGAATGTTTTGTCAAAGAAGGCCATATTTCTAGTCTATAGGTTCTTTTGGTAATTTCCATGTAGTATATACTACTAGTAATAACAACTATACAATTTATATTGCAAAATGGGACAGACAGAGAAAAGAAAACAATCTTCTCAGAGAATGTCATGATGCTGAATTTTAAATAATAATAGATGGATATCTCCCATAAGAAAAGGCAATACTGTCCAATTTTAAAGCAGATGTGGATAGTATCTCCTCTGATTTTTAAAAGTAGTGAGATGACCAAGGTCAATGAAAAAAATTACTCATCAGTGTCAATATCCCACGATGTGGGAGCTTAACCTGCATCAGTGTGGATTCTCTGCAGCTGGTGTGCACCAAGCCCACAAGAACATGCTTTGTTCAGAGAAGCTTACTGTGGATGAAAGTAGGAGTGCAGTGGGGTTTGTGCAGAGTCTTAAATGGTGTCTAGCTTTATCCCTGTAATGGCCAGGGAAGTCGTCACATGAAAGAACACTGACAGCCATGTACCAACTTCTCACCCTTAAAGCCCTTACTCACCTTAAGGGTCCCTTATGGCCCCTCCTAAAGGTCTGTCCTCTAGTAAAAGTGCTGTTTTATAAACTATTAGTCAAGAACATTGCTCCCTGTTCCCAACTCTGTCTTCTAGTTACTTTTCTCATTGCTGAGACAAAGTACCTGACACCCAAAGTTAAACAGGAAAGGGTTTATTTAGCTCACAGTTTGTGGAGGTTTCAGTCCATAATCAGCTGGCTCCAAGGCAGGGTGGTACAGCAGAGGGGCAACAGTTCATGGTGGTGGAACACAGCAAAAGCAACAGGAGCAAAAAGGGTGGAGAGAACAAGCCTTTTTCTCTCCCTTATATTGTACGCAGGCTATCTGCCGTAGCGCAAGTGTAGCACTCATACCATCAACATGCCCTCTTGCACAGGCTCAGGTTGTTTACAAAGTGCAGACCCTGGCTTCCTGCTGAGTCTCTTAGTTAAACTTCTAAACTTCCCAAGTTAACACAATCAACAATAATACAACATTCTAGGGTATAAACAGCCTCCCTAGACCATGTCCTCTACACCCTAAGATGTAGCACTGATGAGTTACTTCATTAAACTTCTTTATTTGTCCTTTTGAGATAGGGTCTTGCTATACAGTTCAAGCTGGCCTTGAACTCACTTCGTAGCCCAGGCTAGTCTTGAACTCGCAACAATCCTCCTGCCTCAGCCTCCCAAGTGCTGGGATTACAAGCGTGCGCCACCAAGCCCGGCTAGTTAAACTTAACTTCTCAAATTGTCACAGAGTATTAACCATTACAGTAGGAGAAGACAAAAAACAATTATGCTACTTTCCTCATATAAATTTCACATAGAAAATATGTGTGGTGGATTAACTAATGGTCAACTTGGGACACCCACCTGAACTGAGTCAGCGTGGTTCTGAGTGTGGAAGGACCAGCTGAGGATTGTTGCCAACAGCATAAAAGAAAAACTGAAGAGGAAGATGCTATGCTGTTGATTCTCCTGAAAAAGCTTGTCACACTAGCTTTCCTGATATGAACTCAGCTGTTCTTGTCATTGAAGGAGCTCGAGTCCTCGCTATCACTGAGGATGGCTGCAGTTCTCTTTAGGGGAGCTCTGGTCCTTACCTTGAGCATTGTTTCTTGGCTTCAATGCAGATCCTTCAGCCGACTGGCACAGATCCTTCATCCCACTGGCACAGACTTTCTAGCTTCCACCACTGACTTTTGACCCTTCCCAGTGCAGATTCTTGATACAGACTGGCATGAGGCATCGTGGGCTTTAGCTCTTCAACTGGACTTGTGCAGGACATTGCCATGCAGGATATTGCCTCAGCTGAATTCTTTGGGTCTCTAGCATGTGAACGGATCTCTTGCACTTGTGCATTTAACTTTTTGGGTGAATGTTATAAAACAATCCTATAAATCAAGTGTCCTGTATTAAATCTATTCCCTTGGAGACTCTCACTACAGTATCCTTTTTCAAATTATAGTCATTTCCCCCAAGCAATAGTATGCCATCACACTCTGAAAGAGGAGTGCCATAGATCTAGCAGAATAAAAGAACCAGGATGGGATGGGGATGTGCAAGAGGCTGAAGGACCATGCAGGATTAGTGGAGAAATCTGTAGGTTCATAGAGAGAAGGCTAGAAGCTCTGGAAACTCCCTAAAGGCACTGACTAGAGTCTAAATCCTGGTACCCAGGATCCACGTGTTGAGAATAGGAAAATCTCTAATGCAGTCGTGCCAATTGGACATGAAAGCCCATCACTGACGAATGTAATAGGGGTAGCCTGACTTCTGGTTGCAGATATCGAGTTGAGAGGAAAAGGGCTAGGAAATCAAATACTGTACTGTGTGCCACTGGAACCGCAAAGTGTTCAGGCAGTGAGCGGGAATGAATCATATTTAAATTTGAATTAGTATGCTGGAAATTTTGGTGTAGATTATACAGAAGACATTTAAAAAGAATACAGTTTGGAATCCTTTAAGTGTAAACGTAGGTTATGTAGAAGAATCAGTTTAGATGACTAAAAGCAGGCACCACAGCTGTGGCCGGTGGCTGTTATGGAGAAAGGTGAGGGCTGAGAAATAGAGATGGGCTTAGGGTTAACTTCTCCAGTATCTCACTCCATCACTTGCTGTCTCTGAGGCATCAGATATAGGATCTCTTAGACTGTAACCTCATCAACCCCCCTGTATCTGCACAGCCACTTCTGGAATGCCCTGGGTGCCATGAAGCAAGCCAAAGTTTGGAAGAAACTTAGCAGATCAGACCAGATGTAGGTTACTTTCACTTACAGAGGAAAACAGCAGTTCTTTTGAGGTGGTGCATGGTTATATATTTGTCCAGTGTGGAGTATACTAGACATTACATTTCCAGTTAATTCTCAGACCTCAAGTTAAGGACAAGTGGAACACGTTGGGGCAAAACCAGTGAATCTTAGTTTTGCTTTGTCCTGTCAATGTTATCACTCTACATGTGCCATGTATGAGTCAGTTTGCAACCATCTGAATTACTTGAAAGAATTCAGCAGTTCAACTTTATGAATATACTAAAATCCAGTGAATTGCACACTTTAAAGAGGTGAATTTTGTGGTATGTGAATTATATCTCAATTAAGAGAAAAAGAAATTGATCAAATGGTTTAATCCTAATGTATAGATTAGAATGAGGTATTAGAGAAATTATAAAGGAATTATGGAAATGTCATACCATATGCTTTCAATATTACGTTGGGTAGTTAGGGAAATGACTCGTTATAATATGTTAAGTGTTTTTGAAGAATTGGGTTACTTGGTAATTTGAATTACTCTGCTTTTAGGTGAAATCTGTGACTATTGCTGAAGGACTCATAGAAGACCATTTTGATGTCACTGTGAAGATGAGCACCTACCTGGTGGCCTTCATTATTTCAGATTTTGAGTCTGTCAGCAAGATGACCAAGAGTGGCGTCAAGGTGAATCCTATGATTGATTGACAGACAGGGTGACCAACTTATTCTGGTATTACTGAGTTGTTCCGGTATTAAAATTGGAAGGCTTACATCCTGGGAACCTTCTCAATCCTGAGCAACAAAGGGTAGCTGGTAGCTCACTGGTCACAGATGCTCATTTTTTGGAGAGAGCTTAGCTTGCTTGAGTTATGTTCTACCTGGACCCACCATTAACTTGCTCTGACCTTGGCCTTACAATGGTTTCTAAGCTTGCTTCTGGTTATAACTATCTATAGCTTGGAAATACACATTAAAGACTAAGCAGGGGAATCTCTGAGTATGTATTAAAATGAAGTAGGCTAAAGCCCCTGTCTTAGAGTAGCAAAAGGCTTTGTGGGGAGAATATGTGGGCCAGGGAATTTTGAATACTGGAGAGAACGCTCTTTATTCAGCTATTATTTGCCCCTGGTCTGGGTCCCATTGCACAATGGACAACCGATACAACCATATGTCATGGCCCCAAATACAAATAGGGTTTTTTGGAATAGAGGAAGGGATTCATTATCGTGAAGATATTCATATATTTTTGCTGGTTTTCACTGAGGCCTTAATAACCGAGGCTTCTCCACTGAACTGCATTTTGCTCTTCAAGTGCTGTGGCTTGAGATACATTTCCTTCTCTGGGGATTTGAAGGTGGTCGTTGAGGGTTGTGTGAAAGAGCCTTCTAAATTCAGCAGTGAAATTATTAGCAAAAGCACCATTATTTTGGCCACCTTTCTGAATCTTTTGTAAAAATGATTGTTTTCATAGTGTTTAATTCATACTAATATTTTTTAGTTCTTCTAGTTCTTAAAAGAGATTCAACACATATATTTTATGTTCTAGCAACTGTGATTACTGCAGGTTTTGTGTATCTGATTCCATCGTTTGTTGTTGATTCTTCCTCATGGAATCCTGCTTCCTTGCGTACACTGTGAATTGTATTTGTGAGCTTGTGTTGCCTCCGTCAAAAATGGATCCTTCCAGAGAATTTGTATCTGTTTCTGTGGGGTGACTGAGATTACCTGTCAGTCCAGGAACCACTTCATATGACATTATTGGCTTTAGGTTTTTGGACTGCCTGGTCACTGTAAGTTCAGCTGTCACACACTATTAGGATTAGCTTTTAGCTACAAATTCTCTAAGGAAGTTTCCCTATTCTCCTTTATGCAATGCCAAGGTTTGAATCGACTAGGTTTTTGTTTGTTTTTGATATGCAGTTTTCCAGTGTGTGGGGTGGTTATTTCTAGTTTACCTTTAAACTAAGGGTGTGGCCTTTAGCATCTAGTTTTATGCTCTTGTTGGATGTCCCAGCTGGGCCGGGCCCTGGACTTCAACCCTTCTCCCTCAACCCCTTCAGTACTCAGAGCTCTGTCCACCTGGGTTGGACTGGTGTCCGCAGGATGAGCACTGCCCACAGTGCCCTGCTGACTTCAGAGCACCCGCTGCTTCATTTTGGGCCTCTATATCTCTTTTTTGCTACCTTCAAAACACAGTTAACAATTTTTGTATATATCGTGCAGTCTTGATGGTGGTTTTCAGGAAGGAAGCTGACTAGGAGCAGTCAGCATTAATATAAAAATGGAATCCCTTATTGTCTTATTTAATATCATACCACTTTTTTTTTTTTTTTAGTACCCGGAATCAAACTCAGGACCTTGCGCTTGCCAGACAGGCTCCTGTGCCGCTGAGCTATATCCCCGGCCTGTCTTATTTAATATCAACACCCACATCCCTCAGTCTGAGGCCATCAGTGTCAGCATGTGCTGTAGTTGTGTGGAGAAGCCACTACGATATTTGACTGTCTCTCCATGCCTTTCTCTTTAGGTCTCTGTGTACGCCGTGCCAGATAAGATAAACCAAGCAGATTATGCCCTGGACGCTGCTGTGACTCTGCTAGAATTTTACGAAGACTATTTCAGTATACCGTATCCGTTACCCAAACAAGGTAGAGATCTTGCTCAGATACGACGAGGTGGCATTGGATGACCTCGGTCAGGGACTGCATCTCTATGATTAGTGCCTCTCCATGATTTTCCCAGCAGGCCCCCAGCAAGGGTCCAGTGGCTGGTGCTTCTGAGAATCTTCCTACCACTCATCTGTATAATGAACTTCCAATGCTAATCAAAGCAGACTTCCACTCGGCTCCTAAGGCACATGGCCTGGGGACTGTTTTGCCTTCTGATATTATTAGCTGGGCAGACAGCAGAAGCTGCAATTTTTTTTCTTTTTTTAACCACTGCCACGTGCTTGGTAAGGACATGGAGGGTGATTAATCAATTTTTAAAATGAATAAATTTATGTAGTGTAAGAAAATCTGCATTTTCCTTCTTTTTTAAAAATTTATTTATTTATTTTTTTCTGGCACTAGGAATCGAACTCACAACGTTGTGCTTGCCAGGCAGGCGCTGTGCCGCTGAGCTAAATCCCCAGCCCCTGCATTTTCCTTCTTACAGAGCCTTTTAAACTATTGTATTTGAGTTTTTAAATATATGTGTGTTGGGCATCCAAAATAGAGTGCATTACTGAGATAATTATTCAGATTTGTTAGCCCCAAAACTCACAGTCAGAGAGCTAGACATGGGATCAAGAGGCCTAAGACACAAGTCTGACTGGGTCTGATTATTAGTAAAATGACTGAGTGTCTGAAGCCCTTTTCACCACTGGAAAAGGTTCTTCCCAGCTGGAGCTCCTTAATGCTGAATAGGCTGCGTAGCTTGTCTTTTGGTTCTAATATCCATCTACTCTGATGCTTATGGTGTCCGGGTGAATGTGTGGCTTTGACCCTGGTAATATATTGTATTACTTCTTCCCCAAGATCTTGCTGCTATTCCTGACTTTCAGTCTGGTGCCATGGAAAACTGGGGCCTGACAACATATAGAGAATCTGTTCTGTTGTTTGATGCAGAGCGGTCTTCTGCGTCCAGCAAGCTTGGCATCACAATGACTGTGTCCCATGAACTTGCTCACCAGGTACACAAGCTCAATCACACTTTTTAAAAAGTGTAGTGGAATGTTTATATTGGATTTGTGGGATAAATGAAATGATCCATATTGTCTTAGTTACTCTTCTGTCATCCCTGAGACAAAAATTAAAGAGGGAAAGGTTTATTTAGCTCACAGTTGGTAGAGGTTGCAGTCCATAATCGGCTGGCTGCAAGGCAGGGTGGTGTGACAGAGGGGTATCACAGAGGAGAAACAGTTCATGGTGGGCAGAAGGCAGCAAAACAAGCAAGAGATAAGACAAGTCTCATATTTTGTCCAGTCTACTGGGATTAGGGTGGTGCTAAACCAATCAGTAGATGGATTTAGTAATCTCCCACCCTTAATCCTAGCACCCTTAATCCTAGAATTATACTGTGTATGAATCAGTTTCTCACTCTAGATTCATCCACCTCTGAAAAAGCCCCACCTATGACTGCATAAGGCTTTGGGGTGATATCTAGACACAAGCCATCACACATATATTTGTAGTATTTGTTTTTTTCTCATGGCAGAATTACTCATTTAGGAACTTACTTTAAGGCACTGACTGGGACTCATTATTAGTAAAACGGCTGAGTGACTGAAGCCCTGGAAAAGGTTCTTCCCAGCTGGAGCTCGTTAATGCCGCATAGGCTGTGTAGCTTGTCTTTCCTAATATCAATCCACTCTGATGCTTATTGTGTCTGGGCAAATGTGCCACCCTGGTGATATATTGTATTACTTCTTCCCTATTGTATATTTTATAATGCATGTTGGAAAATTTTATTTTTACTTGGAAAATATTTGTTCTAAAATATGTTCACATTCATAAACTGACATTAGACATTTAAAAATGTTCCTGCCTGATTGTGTTGTTTGTGAACGCTGTTATAGATTACAGATAACCCAAGCTCCATATAAGTATGTGAATAACCTGAGTCATGTTTTCCTTTCAGTGGTTTGGAAACCTGGTCACTATGGAATGGTGGAATGATCTTTGGCTAAATGAGGGATTTGCTAAATTTATGGAGTTTGTGTCTGTCAGTGTGACCCATCCTGAACTGAAAGTTGTAAGTTGTTATTTATGTTTTCACATTTTAGGTTAGTCTGTTGTTTTCTTCAATGGTGCTGGAAGAGATGATCTAACCTTTGGTTACACAAGTTATAGAAGTGCATTCACAACTTCCTTGGGAGCTTAGCTATGAATCAGATTGCAAAAATGCTAGTGAACTTCCAAGATACGTCACAGAGACTTATCAGACTTGAGTGTGAATCTATGGCTGCTAAAAAATGTATTAAGTAGCATCTTCTCTTAATATCAAAGAAATAGAAATAATGAGGACCTGAATGTTTCATGTCATATTCCCAACCTTCAGGTTGCTCACTGCGGAAGTATTAGGTGTAGGTTGCTATTATCTCAATAAAACCTTACTTGGCAAATCAGGTGAATTATGCTTAAGGTTACATACTGTATTAACCTGGACTCATGAATCACAAGTTTAACACTTTGGGACTAGTATATATTTATTTTAAATATCTCATCTTAAACTTGAGATACTTGCATTAAAAAATTAAAAATAAAATTATTTTAGGTAAAAAAACCCATTTACTAAACTATAATTTTTATTTGTGCATACTTATTACTTCAGATTTTACCTAGTTATATTTAGTTATACATAGTTATTCTAAAGTTCATATCATTATCATATTACAATTGGTCATAAATGTTTTCTTGTGTTTCCAAATAATCTTTAGTAATAACAGTGACTATAGATGCATATTATTCAGTTGAGTTAATGTGTCAAATAAGGAAAGTTAAGGATGGAATTTATTCTGCATTTTTTTCTTTCATGGCATTATTTTAAAGCTAAATTTATTTGCTTGAAATACTGTAGTACAAATGATGAATGAAAAATGTCAGTATCACCACATATTTTATTTTCCTGTTTTGTTGTTGTTTGGTTATAGGAGTAGTGGTTTTGTTTTTTTAATTTTAAAGAGAATAGTAAAGAAAAGAACAATAGCAAAATACCAACATCACAGACATAAACAAAACAAAGCAACATTAAAAACAATACAGAGTCTCAAAATAAAATGATAGGAATTGACAGTGGTCGTTATATTACATATTGTTATCTTCAGTGAAGTTGCTTAGATTACCAGATGTAAGAACAGAAGATTGATCAAACCAGTAAAGAGAATAAAGAAATAATAATTTAAAAAACTAGAGACAATATAGAGTTTCTCTAGACAGAATGGTAGGAATTCACCATGGTTTTGTTTCTAAGTTAATATAAAATTTCTTTTATTCTAAATTTATAAGTATTGAAGAGGAATAAAATCTAAAATGCTTACCTGAAATTATTGAGTTTTTTGGATGTCCTTTAGAGCACATAGTAATTTTGTTTTATTCCATAAAAACTAGCAGTAGCTGACACAGAAATTGGAAGTATAGACCTGTCACCCAGGTCAAACCTTCATCTTTTCCTGCTTTTTCTGAATGTAACTCAGAGGTGCTGTTTTCTCTTTTTGCTGTCTCATTAGGAAGATTATTTCTTCGGCAAGTGTTTTAATGCCATGGAGGTTGATGCATTAAATTCCTCACACCCCGTGTCCACACCTGTGGAGAATCCCGCTCAGATCCGGGAGATGTTTGATGATGTTTCTTATGAAAAGGTAAAAGCGGACTGTAAGGGTACATTTTGATACTGGGGTGGGGAGATTATAGGGAAGGCTATGGGGTAGTTTTGAAGTCATCAGGAACAGCCAGATCAAATGCCTTCTGTCTTGACCTGTGCTGGCTGGTGTAAGCTCTTTTACTACAAGTTTGACCTATAGTCCTAAAGATTATATTATAGTCAGTTCTTTATTTACTTTTTGTTGAGTTAAAAATTCATGACCTTCTGAAACTGCCTTTTACTGATCATTGAACAGGTAGTTGTTAATTGGCCATCAAATTTGTACCAACCAAGCTTTGTGAGAATTGAGCTTTTTTTTTCTTGAGATAGGGTCTCACCATGTACTTCAGGCTGGCCTTGAACTCACTGTGTAGCCCAGGCTGGCCTCAAACTCCATGGCGATCCTCCTGCCCTCAGCCTCCCAAGTGCTAGAATTACAGGCATATGCCACCACACCCAGTGTACGAATCAAGCTTTTTGCTAACCAAGCTTTGTACCGATCAGTGCAACTGCATTTTAAAGGAATTATTATGAAATAAAATATATGCCCAAACTACAGATATCATTATTTGTATTATCTTTCCAGGGTGCTTGTATTCTGAATATGCTAAGAGAGTATCTTAGTGCTGATGCATTTAAAAGTGGAATTGTGCAATATCTCCAAAAGTACAGCTATAAAAACACAAAAAACGAGGACCTGTGGAATTCTATGGCAAGTGTGAGTATGTTTTTGTATATCTGTGTGATTGAGATTGACAATTTTTTTCTTATTTTGTGTTTCCTACATCATATTACTTCCTCTGAGAAGAATTACGGGTGTTTCTTACAGCAGTGAGAGTGATGTGCATATTTGTGGTTTTAGATTTGCCCGGCAGATGATACACAAACCCTGGAGGGCTTTTGTTCCCGAAGCCAGCATTCATCTTCCTCTGCAGTAAGTCTCACCCTCTGCCGGTGTTCCTGCGAACATGATCTTTGACACCATGTGCTTTGAAGTCTAACTCTGTGCTAAGCTTTCTAAGGTCCCTGATTATCTCACCCTCATTCCAGATGACTCTGCATTAAACTATATTAGCTACACAGCCTTTTATAATTTTTCTTTAAAAAGTATATATATAAGAGGGGGCGGAGTCTTCTATAGTTATACTTCTCACCAAAACTGCTTTATTCAGCTTTGCTCTCTGTAAAGCACTGGATTCTATCAATCAGGAGGATTTCAATCATTTCTTCAGCTCTGCATTTGTGAAAAAAAAATGTAATAGCCCTGTGTATTATTGAACACGTACTATGTGTCAGGCACATGCCAAACACTATGTGTATCACTTCTTTTACTCTTCACAACAATCCTGTAAGCCAAACCTTCTTACTATCCCTGCCTTACCCTGTGGGAATAGGAAATCCAAAGACATATGGGCATAAATTTCAGAGAAAGGATTTGAATTTAGATCTAAAATGCTTTTAACTGCTAGGCTATAAAGTATTCATAACATCTGAGTCACAAAACGGCCTGATTCTCTGTTTATCTGACTTGTGGATTATTTTCGTAGGCAGCTGTGGGTGAATCTGGAAATTTAATAGAATATTGTCCTCTGTACTTTTGTTTTCTTTACTTTTTTGTTTTTAGAGATTGCTTGATTCCATGATTTCTGGAATCAAGCATTTATCCTGTAGCATTTTATTCTTTTAGTGGCTCGAAAATATTTTCCTGAAAGCTTTTTCAGTATTGAAGAACATATGCCCTATTGGGTTCATGACCACTTGTTGAGTACGGACCATCTGTGTTATTATTCTGGAAGCACAGGCCTTTCCCACCTTGCTTGCCTGAGAGTGAGCATAGCTGTGTAGTGTTGAAACTTTCCCTTTCCTCTCCCTTCGCTCATTCATTCATTCATTCATTCATTCATTCATTCATTCATTCATTCATTCAGTGTCTGTTTGGTGCTCAGTGCTATGCCAGTGCCCGGCAGAAGCAGACAGGCTACTTGTGAAGACACACATATATAGCAGAGGAGGCCGATAAATAAACAGTCAGTGCTCTGCTGGAGATTCGATGGCTGGGGACACCTGGGGAAGCGAGCCAGGGCAGGAGGCTAGGGGGTAGCGGAGTCCCCCAGAGAGGCTGTCGGTGGGAAGCAACTCTCTGAGCACAAGCTGGCCTGCTGTCCTTTTAGAGTTGGGTCTGTGTGGATGACACATCTGCCGTTTTGTGTGTTAACCAGCACTGGCGTCAGGAAACTGTGGACGTGAAGGCCATGATGAACACCTGGACGCTGCAGAAGGGCTTTCCCCTGATAACCATCACAGTGAGAGGGAGGAACGTGCACATGAAGCAGGAACACTACATGAAGGGCTCTGACGGTGCCCCAGAAACTGGGTAATGTTATAGAGTAAGACTCATCTCGTTGCCTAGGTAACGTCTGCCTGTTAGAATAAATCTTACTTTTGAAATACCATCCTAAAATATTTCAGTTGAATCTGTATGTCCTGTATCTGCCTATATCTCAAAAGGATTAAGGAAGCTTTAAGTTTGGTTAGTCTCAGGAAAGCTAAAATCCTAGGTAATTATTTTAACATTCTCATGTTTTATAGTTTAATAGAATGTAATTTCCAGTTACTGGCTTGAAATTAGCTCCGATTGAAGCAACTACCACCACATTACGATAGTGTGTGGCATGTAGGTTGGAGCTAAGGACAAAAAAGTTTAGATGTTTCTTGGAATTACAAGAGACCCAATTCCCTTCTTTGGAGGAGAGCTTGGGAGCCTGAGTTAGAATCTGAAGCTGTCAGCTTAATGCCACAGAAGGATATCGTTAAAATGAGATGCTGCAACTTGATTGACGTGGGATAGGCTTTGTGCAAAAAAATTTGTTTCATCTTGAAATAATTTTAGGCTTATGGAGAAGTTGTGAGAATAGTCCAAAGAATTTCCATGTATGTTTTATCCAGATATATGATAACTCTTGATCACAATTGGTTTATCTTTCTCTCTCTCTCTCTCTCTCTCTCTCTCTCTCTCTCTCTCTCATACATGCACACACGGTTTTTTAACTGTGTAACAGTGAGATGGAGACAATACACAATTAGAATGTTCACTTATATAGTCACAGTACAATTATCAAAAATTGGGACATAAACTCTACACAATAGAATTATTTGACCTATAAACTCTGTTCAGTTGTTCCAGTTTTCCTAAAAATATCTTTAAATGAAAATAGAAAAAAACTCTCTACTTGAATATAGGCTCAATTTTCTTTTCTTTTATAGGCTCAGTTTTTATGTCATTTTGGTTTTTTTGTCTGAAACAATTTTTTCAGTTTTCCTTTCAATTTTTCCCCCACATTTTCAAAGAGTAAAAGCCAGTTATTTCATGTGATCTCCTTCAACATGTTTTCCACCGTTTCTTCATGACCAGATTCAGGTTGTTCCTTGTAGGCAAGAATTGCACCAAGGTGATATTGTGTCCTTCCCAGTATATTATTTGGGAGGTATGATAGACATTGTGAAATGATAGGAAAACACTCAAGGGAAAAGGGCAACTGGGATGTGGGAAAAGAGAAGGGAAAGAAGGAGAAATTTTGTATGTATGTATATACAGGATAGTTAACATAGTTGTTCTACTGTCTTCTATTTCTTTGCTGAAAGAAACTGTCAATGAGTCCTTGATTGATCAATATTGCATGTCTCTATTCATGAGAAACCACTTTGAAGATATCAATATGTAATACAACAAGCAGTGTTAATTTCCTACCACTTCGCTTGTAACTCTGTATTGTCTGTACTGTTCTTTTGCTATTTTGTAAAAGGTTATTTGTCTGTTAATGTTTTCCTCCTTTTATTTTTAAAATAAAAACACACACACACAAAAAAAATTCAGATGGGAGCTCATTACCTTCTAATAATATTTGAGACAGGTTGAATATACATTTCTCAGGATTAAAATAGTTTATTATTCATAGGTTTTGAATCATAGCGGAATAGCCATGATGGTTCTGCCATTTACTCTGTAATAAAGACAAATAAATAATAAAATATAAGAAAAACAAAACAAAAAGATGCCAACTTATGCAGTTACTGGTGGTCACTGTTTTAAATTAGGTCTCAGGTCACTGGTGACCATTCCCTTGAATTTAAATTCCTAACTCCACTCAAGGAGTCCAAGAAGGATGTGTAGTGCCCAAACTGGAAAATGGACTCATTCTGAGACCTTGACTATAATAGTTTTGATACCATCTTGTTCTAAACTAGCCATAGCTACTTGTTGAATGAATCAAAAATGAAAATTCATCCCTCCTTTCTTTCAGGTACCTATGGCATGTTCCACTGACATTCATCACAAGCAAGTCAGACTCGGTCCAGAGATTTTTGCTGAAAACAAAGACAGGTAATTTATTGTGAAGATAGCTGGGTTATTCAAAGAAGAAGTGTAGAGACATGTAGGATTTAAATAGTAAATGTCTTTTGCTATTTATTTAGGTAAAAAGAGAAGGGACTAGGTTAAAAATGTTGCCTGGTTTTAAAAAAGAATGGCCAATATAATTCTAGGTAGAAATTAGGACAGTTGACTTAGAGTGCTAAAAACAAGGGATTACCAGGGAAAACTCATTATTCTGTTAATATTACGAGGGTATATCGTATGGATGGCCAGAAATGTGGTTGCATTGTTTCCACAGATCTATAAATCTCACAAAATCGTTGTCTAAAACTAGTGTTGGTTCTTGTCTCTTGGGTTGCTGTTGTCTGGTTTCTGAAAGATGTAAGTGAATTTAATTTGTTCAGCATTAAACTCTTCTCTAGTTTCTCTGTCCAGCCTCAGATCAGGAAAACCTTCCTGAGTCGAGGGAGTAAAATGAGCTACGATTTATTTTATTTGCTCTAGATGTGCTCATCCTCCCAGAAGCAGTGGAATGGATCAAATTTAATGTGGGAATGAATGGCTATTACATTGTGCATTACGAGGATGATGGATGGGATTCCTTGACTAGCCTCTTAAAAACGACGCACACAGCGATCAGCAGTAATGATCGGGCCAGTCTCATTAACAATGCCTTTCAGCTTGTCAGGTAATATGAGCTGCACAAAGTTGTGGTTTCCTTCTGAAAGCAGCTGTTACCGTTCAAATTCTTGATTTCTTAAGATGAAGATGATTGATGGTTGCTAATGAGAAGTTGAAAGGTATTTTCCCTAAATTCTTCTTACAATCTATGTTTGCTTTTACCTTGGGATTAACCTCTTGTCTGTGACTGCTAGGTGACTTGAAGTATAGAATCTATATTTTAATCTTCCTCATTCCCAACTCAGATTGGACCGAGATACATGTAAAATCCAGGAGACAATATCCAAGTGAGACCCATGCCCCATCCCTCAAGCCTTGTTCTCCAAGTTTCTTTGGCCTGCCATATTGGATCAGGTTTCTCCCATGCTGGGGCTACAACCATCTTGAAACCTTTTTAGAAGACTAAGTAACCTAGACCCCAGATGTTTGGTACATCTCTTGGATGAAAGGAGACATTTAAAACAAGTGCAAAAAACCAAACCAACCAAACAGCAAAAAAAGCCCTTTAGACACCCAAATTTCACAGCATTTTAAAGGAATCTAGCTCATCAAATTTGGCCCCATCAAATGACCTTCATGTGGCTGAGAATAGCAGGAACAGGATCTGTTTTGTCCCCTCCCATAACAATGGTTTTAAGGAACTCCTTTCCACACCTAAAATTTAAACCTTTTCACTCTTTAGGCATAATAAGGGTAGCTTTATAATTCTCAGCTCTCTGTCCTTCTGCCCTGAATATTGAGTTCTTAGAACGTCTAATACCAGACTGTACCTTCCAATGTGGCAAAAAGCACAGGGGAAGAAGGTAGGGGTTGTATATCTAGCTGTTTCTTTCTGCTGAAAAAATTCCTCTGTGGAGCATATTTCTGCTTGAATCTTAGAGGGTTTTATGTTTGCTTATATAAGCACATATCCTACCACTGAGGTTTTTAATATCAGCCCTCTGCTGTGAAGGATTTCTATGTATATTCAGTGTCTTTTTGAAATGGAAGTACTCATACTTTTGCTGAATGCAGGCTTTCTGACAGGCTTCCTGAAGCCCTGTGAACTACCCTCATTACCCTGGAAGTTCTGATCACAACCCAATGCATTCTAGGGGACGTTTGTGGATGTCCTTCCATTTCATCTTAATCCCAGCTGGCTCTGTTATTAAAAAAATTCTTCCCCAGTGTAATCTTGGCCAGATGTTAGGTGCGGTAGAAAGATACTAAGGTAGAGGTCATTGTTTGATGGAAGATGGATACAATATACTTTGCAGCCAAAAGTTGATTTCCTGGATTTTGTTTTAATCCTGTAAGTAACCATGGTGTCTTTTGGTCAGCATTGGAAAGCTCTCCATTGAGAAAGCCTTGGATCTAACCCTGTACTTGAAACATGAAACTGAAATCATGCCCGTGTTCCAAGGGTTGCATGAGTTGATTCCTATGTATAAGTTAATGGAGAAGAGAGATATGATTGAAGTGGAAACTCAATTCAAGGTAAAAGCCTGAATATAAACAGCTGAGTTATAGAATCATGGCTTGCTTTTACTGTGTATGAAAAAGGTGCTTACCATTGTGTATGTACGTATGTATGCATATGGGAAAAACAAATACACATTTAGTGTTTGGATTAATAAGCAAAGGCTTCTATTTTATTTATCACTAAAATAAAATGGTAGTGTTAAATTCTGTACTTAATTTTCATGGATTTTTATTCCCCTTTTATTTCATTTTACTTCTCTAATATGATCACTACTATTAAGATTTTCTGGAACTGTTCATGGTGCTAAGATAGTACTAAGAGGCACAAACTTGTTATTCTTGACAAAGTGTCATGAAGTTTTTGCACACTTTGCTCTCAAAATTTAGTCCTGCAACTGTTGCTTTTAGCTTGAGAATGGCACTTCATCCTGATTTTAAGTTGATAGGCTGTCTTTACCAGAGATTGTTATGCAATACTACAATCTTTATTTCTTGTTCTGATCCCTTTTATAATTCAATATGAACAGGCCTGCACACTTTAAAAGAGTTGGACTAAACTTTAAAAGTTGAGTACTGGGCTATAATAAAAATGAAATGAGCTGTGACAATACTCATGACACCTGTCACTGTCCCACGGTCTACCCCCTCAGGCCTTCCTCATCAGGCTGCTGAGGAACCTCATTGATAAGCAGACCTGGACAGATGATGGCTCGGTCTCTGAGCGGATGCTTCGGAGTCAGCTCCTCCTGCTGGCCTGTGTGCGCCAGTATGAGCCCTGTGTGCGGAGGGCAGAAGGCTATTTCAGAAAGTGGAAGGAATCCAATGGAAACCTGAGGTCAGTCCCTACTGAAGAGCTCATTTGTTGATGTAAGGGTGTCTTTTTGTTTACCATCACTGGTATTAACCGCTGGAAAAAAAACAAAAGGTGTAAACAAGTCTTCCCTACTTCATTTTGGTGGGAGCAGGGGGATAAATTGCTTTTTAAGATTTATCTATGTATCTGTCAACTTTCTGTTTTAAGAAATGCTAGTAGGTGAGTCAGGTATCTGGGGAGTTAGACCTGGATCACAATAATTCCCATTTTGAATCGCCACCACAAAATCTTACTGTGTCTCCAAAGTCCCTACCACTGTAAAGCAAGGTAGGATTTACCTTATGCAGAAATCTATTCTTGTAATAATTCAGTCATTTTGTATTTGGAGCTGAAACCCCACGAAAGACAATTTATTCCAAAAACCTACAGGCTTCCACTCAAAAGAAATGCTCACAGGCAGTGGTTCTATTAGATTTCTGTCTTGTGTTCATGGAGAAAGTTTTGAGCTGTTTGGATTTCTTTTTGCTTGAAAGTTGACCACCTGTGGTCAGTCAACATTATTAAAATGTTAGAAATACTGGTATTTATGAGTGACCGCTCACATTAAGGTTTGGAGAAAGCTGCTTAAAATCTAATCTGAGCTATTTTTCCCTCATCTCTTTTCATAGAAGGTCACTGAAGGAAAGCAGCAGTTTTTGTTTATGTTTCCAGGCATGCTTCATCAGTTCATAATCGGTCAGCATTATGGCTCTAAATGCACATTCTGGACCTCAGGTTCTCAGGGGTTTGTTCTTTCCCACAGCCTGCCTATCGACGTGACCTTGGCAGTGTTTGCTGTGGGGGCCCAGAACACCGATGGATGGGATTTTCTTTTTAGTAAATATCAGTCTTCTTTATCCAGTACCGAGAAAAGCCAAATTGAATTTGCCCTGTGTGTAAGCCAAAATAAGGAAAAGCTTCAGTGGTGAGTCATTCATTCATGTTCATGTGGCCAAGGGAAATTAGGTCTGATCATTCTGGCATCGGTTTTTGTTCTCTTGGCCAGGAATTGCCTATTATGTGGAACATTTGTGCAAGTGGGCACACATCTAGTGAGAATAGCAAATAATTAGGGAGAACCAGGTGTTAGGAAAAATACTTAAAGACATTTATATTGTGTATCTTTAAAGCAATAACATACTTGATATATTTACTAGAGTTCTATTAACTATTCTTTTGAGCAAATTAGGGAATATACAAGAATAGGTATTATAAATGACATACAACTGTTAGTTTTTATTATTATGTAGCTATAGTGGGTCTATCAGGACTCTGGTTACCAATTTACCTGTTTGGCTTTTTTACTGGCAGACTGGGTTTTTTCCTTTACAAGTTATTTTACTGTACTCTTTTATAACTTTTTCATCACCTACTCATTGGTAACAGCTCTTGTCTTTATCATCACAGGTTACTAGATCAAAGTTTTAAGGGAGATATAATAAAAACTCAGGAGTTTCCACATATTCTTACATTCATCGGCGGAAACCCAGTGGGATATCCATTGGCCTGGCAGTTTCTGAGGGAGAACTGGAATAAACTTGTACAAAAGTAAGTAGGACCAAAAATGTGCTGGGATTGGATAAGTTCTTTAAACTTGCTGTGTTTTAATGTTGATGCTTATAAAAGAATAGTAATAGTCTAAAAGAAGTTTTTTGATTGAAGATACGAAGTAGAGGTACTTAGAATATCTTTATTAACAACAAAGCCCTAATTTGGTGCTAACTAATGAGGCTAGATGGTAACGTTTTCCTTTCCACTGGGCCTCGTCTCACATCCACTGGCTTACCCGAAGCCTCCCTCTTTCTAGGTCAGTCCTGCTCTTCTTAGCACTCTTGCATCTGCCTTTATCCAACTCTTGTAGCACTCCTGCATTTATCATTCTTTTGGGTACTTAATAATTTATTCAGCAGCTGGGCATGTAACATATTTTACAATAAGGTCTTAACCCAATGGAAGATAGAGATCATATTTTATATCTTTTTCATGCTTAATCAGTTTTTAGCTAAATGCTATTGCAGATGTGAGGTGCTTAACAATATATGTTGAATGCATAAGTATTTCCCAACTCATTTTGACAACTTCCATTTCAAGGTTTGAACTTGGATCAAATTCCATAGCCCACATGGTAATGGGAACAACAAACCGATTCTCTACCAGAACGCGACTTGCAGAGGTAAAGAGAGAAGGAAATAATTTTTTTCCTTTTATACTTAAGTCTGAAGACAAAATGCTCAAAAGTGAGATGACTTAGATGTGAATTTCATTCATTTATTTGTGGATTCCATGGTACTGAGATAAACAAAATTCAGTTGCAGATGAACTAGTGGAAACCGTACCTATTCTTGGCCATGTTAATGGTTGTTTGTTCTGCCATTAAAAAATGACTTGAGACAATTGGTCCTTGTTTAAAGATGTTCAAAGTGAACTTTGAAGGTACAAGTGACTGAAGTTAGTCACCCAGTGATTGTGAAAGAGGCAAGTCTGGAATCTAGGTTCTTCGTTATCCAAGTCCATGGTCTTCTTTTCTTTTCACTTATCGTACCTACCATCTACTTTCAGACATAGTCTTATGTATCTTATAAAAGCCATCTATGAAATATTTTTTTTCCATCTATAAAATGATAACATGAAGAATAAAACACTCTGTAATGAACAGGAGAGGTAACTAGATGAAGGAGTTTGATGATCATGATTGCAATGATACCCTAAATTTAATCAAAAAGCTTAATAGCAATCAAGCCAAAATGAGAAATTAGTACGTTATTCTCATTATCAGAAAAAGTGAACTTGAAATATATAGGTACTCTACAAAAGCAGAGTTTCCTCTAGTCCTAAACTGCTCTTTTTGCACAGAAAACGTCCTCCGAGAGGCCGGTTTGAATCAGTTGTATAATTGAGACGCTGCATTTTGTGAGGCAGATGAGGACAGAAGAGACAGTGTTGGGTCAGGAAAAGGTCTGAGAGCTGGAGCTCCTACAGCTTGTGTGGAAAGTCTGCTTTTAGTGGTGTTAGCATGATGGGTTTAAGAATTAATGAAGTATTTGACAATTAGGGAAATTATCCATGTGGTCTGAATTACTGATGGTGTGAGGGCCCAAAGTGATTTGGAATTGATGGGGAATTAATCTCAGGCTCCGGAGGGTACAACAGTAGGCTGCCTGAATGCAAGGTGGAGCAGGGAGAGGAGGTGTATTCTGGGTCCTCCAGCAGAGGCCATGCTGTCAGCAATTTGAGAAGTTGTATTAAATGTAATATAAAACAACCCTGGATCATTGAAAATTGGAATTTGATCTTTCCAAAGCCCACTTTTACCCTTACCTCCTACTCCTAACCTCATAAAATGGTATTATGACATGGATTTTTAAGGAATTTGCTCTCTGGAATCCATGCTGAATAAATAATGTGTTTTGGCTTACACTTGTTTCCTGACTACGAAATCAAAGTTGATGGACAAATGCTGTGAAATTTGTGGGAAAGGTTAAGAACCCCGTAAGGTGAAACAAAATAGTATAATCCTCAGTGCTGTGCAAAGTTAGCGTGTCCCTCGTGTAAGCTTAAGGGGTTTGAGTATCCAGAGAAAAAAAAAGAACAAAGACATTTTTGAGGAGACAGCCAGCAGTCTCTTATCTCTTTAAAACCATGGAGAACTTCTTGTAGATTTTATCTGGAGAGAACAATACATGGATTGTGAATTAGGATAAAAATTTGGCAAGGTTTGGGGTCTTACCACTATAACTTGCTAAGAACCCCATTCCCTACAGTGTTTCCATAATAACATGCAAGGCCAGGCCCATGGAGAAAGGCTGCATTTATGTGTCTGAAATTGTTTTGTTTGGCAAAGAAGATCCTGTGCACATTTTGATTTTTAGATATCATGTTTTAAAAAAATTAAGTTTGCATCTGTGTGTATAGAACAGAATACACATTAAATAGACACACTCAATTAAACCTTAATTATAAAATGGTAAACAGTGGAGCCTTTTAAAGTCTGGGAACTGTGAATAAATAAAAGAGCTGCAAAGAAAAAATACAAAAGCCTGACATCACGAGCCATGAATGCATTTCATATAGCTCAAGCTTATGTGCACATAATCATAACCAGACACCTGGCTCTGCTTTCTATGGAGAATTTTGACAAATTCTGGGATTCTGGCTTCAGTTTTCTTTTTAACTTGCTTTAGTAACATTTGCTTACTGTGATAAATTAATTTTTTAAAAATCCATTTTCTCCTTCCAAGGTGAAAGGATTCTTCTACTCTTTGGAAGGAAATGGCTCTCAGCTCCGCTGTGTCCAGCAAACTATTGAAACCATCGAGGAAAACATACGTTGGATGGATAAGAATTTTGATAGAATCAGAGTGTGGCTGCAACACGAAAAGCCTGAACTGCTGTAAACAACCATATCTTGCTAAGTTCTCATGATCCGTATCACCCAAATTTTGTTGAATGTGAATATTTTCAAACTAGAGATTTTTTTTTTTTTTGCTACAGCTGAAGATACTCCTCTTCCCTTCAACTCTATCCTTTAAGCATTTCTGTGAAAAGACTGGCCATCAGTATTTCCATCTATGGACTATTGCTTTCACTTACAGGTGTTGCCCTGCAATGTAAACACAACTAGTGCGCTCTCTACTACGGAGGGGTAAAGCGCTTTATTCTGCTCACTTTTTGTTGTACATTTAAACCCTGCAGTGTTCACATCCCTCAAGCCCTGTATGTCTGCAATTCATGTGCTGTTTCCTCAGTGCCCTTAGAAAAGCCAGTCGTGAAGAACACCGAGTGCCTGGATCAATCGCTAATAAGGGAGGCAGCTACCTGGAGCTCTCCACATGTGCCGTCCACCCTCTCTTCCTTGCTTCACGTCCCGATGCTGATCTGTGGAGCCCAAGCCATCAGGTTTCCTTGCCCTCTGGATACTGGTCAGTGGAGAGCCCCAAGAGTTTATCTCTTCTGGAAGAGAGAGGGCATTTATGCCCACAGGAAACACCTTTCATTTAAAGTTGTACTGGAGAGCTTTTAAGGGAGATGATATTTTCTCTCTCAGCTCCTCACCTGGCCTATTTTTTTTAATTCCTTAAAAACTCATTATTGGCATTTATTGCCAGTACATAATTGCAGAGTCACCAGCCGGTGATAATATATTATGAAACAAAATATTTGCTTATAATAGACATAGAGAAGACAAGATAGTCTACAGTTCTGAATTGAAGTCTTACATAGGAATTTGTGAATAGACGCATAAATTTCAAGGCAAAACAATATGACTAATATGAAAAATGTCAAAACGTGTTTGCTCTAATACACTGGAATAGATTGGCTTTTACACAATTCCATTTTTATACCCAGTGCGTGGTTGATGGTTTGAGAAATGAAAATAAAAACAAATCACTTGTGATTTCTTACCCAGTCTAGTTTACTTCTTTAAAAAATGCACAGCCAGTTGTGTGTGGTGGCGCATGCCTGTAATCCCAGTACTTGGGAGGCTGAGGCAGGAGGACTGTTGCAAGTTTGAGGCAGCCTGGGCTACAAAGTGAGCTCAAGGCCAGCCTGAACTGCACAGTGAGACACTGTCTCAAAAAGACCAAGAAAAAAAAAAAAAAAAAGAAAGAAAAGAAAAAATGCACAGCCAAGATTTTAATGTAAAATACTTTGCTTTAATTGTATTTTGTATCTTGATTAGTGAAACAAAAATACTGACTTTCAGTTTGGGTCACCTGAGGAGTCTATCTTCATTACTTTTGAAAAGCCCATTTCTACACAGAGGTAATCTTGCCAACACAACGTGCAGAAACCATTTTGGTAATAAACAATTGTTTACTTTTAAGCAGGTATTTGCAATTATTTTCTCCTTACTTTTGGACAAGAGTAAAAGGACTACTTTAGATCCTATAGCTTACTTCAGTTACCAGGAGTTACTAGCAAACGGCCATCTTGAAGATATTTTTAATAAAATAAGGAAGGCATATTGATACACCTTAAACACTTACAGGTGTTCTCAACTCTCTGGAGTCTAGTATGTCATTTAAAAATCCTTTTCTCTGTGCATGGAAATTAGTACTCCCGCAACCTTACTCTTGTAAACACATCTGTCAGTGTTAAAGGTTTCAGTCTTTTTTTCTTTTTTAAATTAAAAAAAGGGAATAACTATACTACTCGAATAGAAAGATTAAGTACATAATTAAAATTCCTCAGGAAGAGTGTTTTTCTTCTTATGAGAGCTTTGACAATAATGTAATAACTGTTTCTTGAATGGGATAGAGACTTAACAAGGTGGTGTGTGAAGTCTCCTCTGTTTGTACTGAGCTGTAGAGAGTAGTTTTAGGGAGTATCAGCGAACGCTGGTATCTGTTATGAGCGGTGTTACTATTTTCGCTTGCTTCCGTTAGACAGTACTGGTGATATTAAGTTTACTGAAGTTATCGAAGGCCTAACAAAGGCTGTAAATTGCTACTAAGGAGGGCTGTGCTCTCTAGAAACAAGAAATTTTGATTCTCTTATCATGTGTACCTCACATCTTTTCCCACATTCGCTGCCAGGAAGTAAAGATGAAATTAATTATTTATCAAAATCGCATCAATGATACCAGTACAATGCTCATAAACTATTTATTCATAAAGATTGGAAAAGCCCTTAGGAGCTCTTGGCTATCAGAGACTAGTTCTTAAGCTTCGAGGTGAGGGGAAGCAGATTTTATATATATATATATATATACATACCATATATGGTATATATACTCTGTCTCTCTCTCTCTCTCTCTCTATATATATATATGGTAAACTTAACTTCCATAAAATCAGATAAACAGTGCAAAGACTAATATGGGAGATGGCTCCAAGCAAATGACTGCTGTTCAGGTTTTACGTAGAGAATAGAAAACGGCATTTAATACCATGGTAAACAAACAGAGTTCAAGACATATGCATATCCAAAGGATTAAATTTTCTCATTTATGAAACTTGCCACATTACCTGGCCTATCATTTTGCTTTTCTTGGGACTTGTTCCAGTCTGAGTGTGTTTTGTTTGAGTACGCAGAAGTGCTCACCCCTGGCAAAGAAGAATGCAAACTAAAAAGGAGATTGTTGCTTCCTGGTTTGTCCAGGTCATCTGTTATTCATTTATTATTAGCAGCCCAAGAGGAGATATGTGCCGAATGTACAGTATCTTATATTTGAATTATAAACATAAACCCGAAGAAACATCAGATATACTTCAAAAGCTCAAGAGGAAAGGGGGTAATAAGAAACCAGAACATTGACAAATGTTTAGAGCACTGTTTTCCAAAAGCTAAAAAAAAAAACAACAAAAAAAAGTGCAATCTGAAAATACTAATGAGATTTATAGGCACTGTGTGTAGAATGTGCAAAAGTTTGCAATGTTTTTCTATTTTTTTGGTGTTGCTTTAGTAAACTATCAAATATATTTCTTACAAATATAAAGCTTCCTTTTCCAACTGAAGGCAATTTTTAAAAATTCAGTTCATCAATACTCAATACAGTAGCACAGGTGAACCAGACAAATTCATTTTCCTTCTGGAAAAGAACAACAAACCAACGTTTTTGATGTCAAAACCCTTAACAAGTATCACTGTTTGGAAGCCACCCAGGAAACTTTTCTGTTGCCAATGCCTTTTGCTTTTCAAAAGTCACCATCCACCAGCTGAAGATTTTATGTGCAGATACCTTGAAAATTTCAAAGAAAAAAAATCCAGTGAATCATTTGATACGTAGTTTTTATGGTAACAAGCATGGAAAATGTACTACTTAGCAAAAGCACTGTATACAGACAATAATGCTGTATGAAACTAGGGGTATACTGATAATAGAATCTTTAAATTTTAGGAAAAATCTTGGAGTTCTAATTAGTACGTCTCCCTCTTAGCAGGAAGTAAAAATGGATTATGATAAGAGAGCTGAACGTGGTTGAACCTATATTTTGATTTCTTTTAGACTCTGGTCAGTAGCAAGTAGTAATATGCTTTTAGGGCTTAGGGTGAGACTTCCCCTCCCTGAAGATTTAGATAAGGACCCCTCTCTCAAAGTGGATCCCAGAGATTCCTTCATCTTTTGGATGCTTCCTGGTTTAGAAGGAATCAAACACACTAGAATAAATTAGAATCAAATACAGTAGTGTACTTTCCAACACTGGGACAAAATTCAGTGGCCAATCTTTTCCTTTACTTCTATTCTAAAAACTCCTGCCATTTTCACCCAAGTCTAAAGACTACTTCTCCCCGTTCTTAGACTCCTTCTTTCCCATGTTGGAATTTATGGTAACATTAACTGAGGACATTTTACTAAAAGTTGTAATATGCTAATTCTGCAGGCAAAGAGGTGGACTTCCTTTCTTTTCCCATAACAAAGGCCAGGAAAAGGCAGAGTGTCTTCACTTATGACAAACACCCAACTTACCAGATAATGTAAACTTTATCTTGTTTTTTTATCATCATCTCTTTTTGTGCTTTTTTCATCATCTTTTGGCTTGGGACCTTCCTCCGTTTTCTAAGAAGGGAAAGCAAAACCGTAAGTGAGGTCCTTTTTTTCCGAAGTGTTAAAAAAGTGATCCACAAGAGAAGGTTTATGAGAAGATACTCCTTTGTCATAAGGCTTCTCACAATTAAAGGGGCAGAAGACAGCAGCCAGTGGAGGAGAATTAAGACGGTCCTTTCTAAGTTTCTCCTCTTCATTTGACCAAAGCACTGTGTATTCTTCCCCCTCAAGTTTCTAAGGTAAAAATAATCTTAAAAATAATCAGCCTAAATTTCAAATTCTAAATTTAATTCCTAAGAAAGGCCTATGTAGGTAATTTTTTAAAAATGCACAGCTATTCTTGGATAGGAGTGTTTCATCTTTCTCCAGTGATCCATCCTTTTCCTATATTCAGGGATATGGGTGCTCAGTTAATGCACTCATTATATATAGTGATTATGGTTTCTATTTCTTATTAAGAGATTGATAAACTACTTTGTTATAACTAAACATAAACAAGTATTTCACATACTTGAGATATAATGGCATAAGCAACTGTCAATTATCAATCATGTTTCTTATGTCTTTTATGGAATCCATTACAAGATTTCATTATCTTGCTTTTAAGAGTTTTAATGCAATTTGACTGTAGTTTTTTAAAGCTATACCTCTAATTTCTTTTTTTTTCTCCAGTACTGGGAATCGAACTCACGACCTTGTGCTCGCCAGGCAGGCGCTGTGCCGCTGAGCTAAATCCCCAGCCCCATCTAATTTCTTATAATACAGGATCACAGTTATAACCACTGAGTAGCCCGTTCTTGAATTGGAAGGGATATAGAAATTGTCTAGTCCACTGTCCACTTCTGACCACAGCTTCAGTAACTTTAATACAGGATGCTCCCAAATGTTGCACTCCATTAATGCCAAATCTAAGACTTAAACTGGATCCTATCATTTTCATTCATTAGTTTTCCTTCTACTTTCTAGAGGAACATAAAAAATTACATAGTGCTCTGTTGGATGTTGACTGTTCTGCAAAGATCCATCGGTGAAAGGATCCATCCTCGAGGTGGCATTATTGGAAGATGCCATGATGTTTAGGAGGTAGCGCCTCATGGGAGTCCTTTAAGCCACTGGGGCTTGCCTCAAAGAGGACTGTGGTATCCCCTCTCTTCCTCCTTGTTCCCTGGCTTATGAAGTGAGCAGTGTGTTCTGCCTCCCACCAGATATGCTGCCTCACCAGAGGACCAAAGCAGTGGGGCCCATCAATCAGGGACTGAGCCCTCCCCAAATCATGAGCTGAAATGAAACTTTTCTCTGCCTTGTTTTGGGTATTCATTAAAATGATGGAAATCTAAGTAATACATGAACTAGTAGTCCTATTACGTATGAATCTCCTCGGGTGCTGTCTAATGATACACTGGACCATAGAAACTAATATCTCCCCTGATTTTATATACTACCTTCCATGCTTTAAAATTTATATAAATCACATACTTGGAAAATAGTGTAGTAAGAGACGGAAATGCAGGCAACTTGAATTGTACTAAGAACACTTGTTTAGATTTTTAAAGTACTAGGTACTTAGAAAAAATATATATGTAAAATACACACCCCCACACATATACACACCCACACAAACATATATTGTTTTAAAAATTCATTTCAGTAGTGAAGGATGCCAGGGAACAGGTAGCGTTTAAATATCTTTTATTTTCAATAGCTTAGAACAAGAAACTAGATTACGAACAGGATAAATCCCATTTCCATGTCATTCCTGAACTACTTTGCTGTGCATTTGTTGCCCCACATTTACCTTTGCCGAATCCTTTGCTTTATTTCCATTCTTGGGTGCCTTCGAACCAGAAGCACCCTTCTTGCTCTTGTCCTAAAGCAAAGGAAATGTAGTAAAGCTACTGTTAGCATCAGTCCATCTAGCAATTAACGACTGGCTGCAGCCAAATTAAACTATTCTTTGTTGTAGCCCGTAGAGCTCCAATTTAATTAAATAATATTTCAGTCACTATTTTTTAAACAATAGTGAATATACACAAAGGTGTTTAAGACAGGAGATAAAAAGGCTAAGTAGGAAACTGTGGATCACACCAGTACTCTGTTAATTGCTGTGACAGGTGATTCACCCAGGCCCTATTCTGGTCACTAAAATGGAACTTATCCATTATCAAAAAGACAAGAGATAACAAGTGTTGGTGAAGGTGTGGCAAAAAGAGGACCCAAGCACTGCTTGGAGGGAAGTGAGGTTCCTAAGGAAATTGAAAATGAAATGATCATGCAATCTAGAAATTCCTGCTCTGGGTATACACCTAAAGAAAAAAAAGGATTAAAAAAGGATAAAATGGAAACAAAGCTTTGTAAATGAGGAGAGGAAGCGTGGTTGAAGGGATGGGAGGGGATGGGAAAGAAAGAAAAGGAAACAGGATACATCATGCATAGGTAAAAATCCCCTGTGATGAATATGATCATTGTATATACCTAAATTGTACCAATAAACTTAATAAAAAAATTTTAAGGAGGGAATATCATCATCTTATACAGATATCTGCAGTCTCATGTTCATTGCAGTATTATTTACAATGGCAAAAAATATGGAAATGAACTCAGTATACTTAGGTGGATGAATTTTGAGGCTATATATATATATATACATCCTATTCAGTCTTTAAAAAGGAGATCCTGCCACTTGCCACAGCATGGATGCATCCAGAAGTGCTGGTGCTAAATGAAATGTGTCAGACACAGACAGAAAAATATTGCCTGATCTCACTTACAAAACAATAAAAAGTTCTCAAATACACAGATGGATAATACCACAGCGGTTACCATAGGCAAGGCAAAGCGAGAAGGCACTGCAGAGATGAAAAGTCACAGGAAACAAAACAGCAGCAAAGTAGGATGAGCAAGTCTAGAGATCTAATGTGCACTATCAAGACTAAGGTTGAAAATTATATTGTATTAGACTTTTATTCAGTAAATAGATTTTTAGCTTCTCTCATCTCAAAAAAGCAGGAGAAGCAGATGTTAACTGCTCCACTAGAGCAATCATTTTACTGTCTATGTGTGTTCCATAACACCATGTTGTAAACCTCAAACACACACACACACACACACACACAAACTGTCCAGAGCTTGTCTCTATTAGACTGACATTTATGTGCCAATAAACTAAACCAAGACATTGTTTTCAGTGTTATGGTGGAGAAATGTAACAATAAAAATGATGGCAAAGAGTTGGAATAGGTAATGTATAAAAATAAAGCCCATTTACTAAATAATGCTATTATTTAGAAGTTTCCAGGAATGCGAAATAGGAAGCCAAAGTGGTCTAGAAATGAGGTCACCCACTAAGGAAGCACTGCCAACAGCTGGGAGCTGTGCTTAACAACAGCTCAGACGATAGGAGGCTGAGATGTGCAGAATTTACTCTTCTGAAAACAAGCAGGATACTCCTTTCACTTCCTCTATCTAATGTACGAGGGTGTGGTTAATAAATAAAATCCCCACGGTTGTTGAATTACACATTTCGTTTCCCACTCACATTTAATCGCATGTTTTGAGCACCTAGTAAATACCAGGCATTCTGCTAAGAAGTCAAAGACTCATCACTACAGCAGATCAGCACAGCTAAGGGCTGCAGTAGACATGTGATGACAGGAAACCACGCACAGCGAATGTGAGAGGGAGGCTGCTTAGCTCGGCCTGGGGAGGGAGGGTGGTGAGAGAAGTCTTCTGAAGAAGCAGCTGCTTGAAAAGGGCCCTAAGAGATGAGGAAGAGTCAGCCAGCTGGGCCAAAAGGAAAAGGGAAGGAAACCCCAGAGGACCAACGAGCAGGAGAGAGCCTAGGGAATCAGGGAGTATGGTAATTGCAGATGAGCGGTTCCTGTCACGTTACAGTATTGTAACATCACAATATGGCAATGTAAGGTGGTAGCTCTGGAAATTCTAAAGCAATGTGGAAAACGTGATGAAATGATGTTAAGCCACGTGCTACAAATGGACAACCTTGTAAAACACACCTGCAGGGAAAGACAAGGGAAATGTACCAAACAATACTGCGTGTAGGGTGGTGGAATTATAGATGCTTTTTCTTTTCTCTATTTTTAGGTTCTCTATAATATTCAATTCATTCTAGTTTAAAATTACATACATGTGTACACTCACAGAAACCCCCCCCCTGTGTATTTCAGAGAAAGTTCACATGAAGAAGCACTCTACCTTTGTTGTGTTCTGTGAGGTTTCTGCCGTGGAGGGACAGCTGTCCAGATCTCCTGAGAGGACATCAATGGGGTCTTTGTCATCTGAAGGCTTCTGAGATATTAACAGAAATAACCATCATGAAGAAGCGCGAGGAAAATGCTACAGGGCCCCTTTTCCCACATCACTTAAAAATTAAAGATGTATGATTAAGAAAAAGTCTTGCCAACGTTCTTTGCCTTACAGAAACATAAAGGAGACAATAAAACATGAACATTTTAGCAACTTTATTTTCTTCTACTCTTTAACACAGGTATTCTCACCTGCAAAATAATACTCCTGCCTTCTAGGGCTTTGGTGAGTAAGAAATAACAGATCAGTAGTGCACATACACTTATACGCATAACTTGGTATACAGGACCAAGCACAAGGGAGGCGTTCAATACATTTCAGTTTTTTTAAAAGAGAAAAGTAAAAGATAGTATGAAACGGGGTAGATCTTTTGTAAATAGGAAGGGGACTAGGAGATGGACAGAAAGGGGTGGAAGGGGGAGGGAACATAAAAAGAATTAAGATGTGTAATGTACATGCACCAGCTATCCACAAGAATGTGACGTATGCACCAAAAACATGTAGTAATAAAGATACAATTTTTAAAAAAAAAATTTAAAATGCTAAATAAAGCTATTAATCAGAAAATCTCATGGAAACATGATACTATGGTATTTACCTTTGATTCTTTTGATTTCTCTGTAGGTGGCTTTGCTGGTTGTTTCTTAAAAACAAGGCAGACAACTGGTTAAACACAGATCTTTTTAAAGATTTACTTAGGTATAGTCAGTATTCATAAAGGCTGTTATGCAATAATGACTTCGGTAAGATGGAATTGAGATTTGTAGTAACTGATAAAGCTGCCTCTGTGCCATTTTTCTACTGGTTCAGTTTAACCCAGTAACCATTTTAGTAGCTTTAGGGGGAAATGTAAGGGTCTGGTCTTAGAAGTAACACAGACCCTAGAAGCGTTCTGCCATCAGGGGTTATAATTTATAAATCTATTTAAAATATTACAAAAGATACCTGTGTTTTCATGGCTAAACTTACTACACTTGGAAAAGTTCTGAAGATTATTTTCACACAAGATTGAAAATACAAGCCAGGGATTTTCCTGTCTTCAAAGGCAACAGCGTTAAGGAACACATTCCCCAAAGATTACAAGCTGGATGAGGTAGTTCTGGCAGAGCAGGGAGGATCTTAGCAGGATGCAGAATTACTGTCTCAGGGAATACTTAATGCAGTCCAGGAGAACTGACAGCACCCACCACAAGAACCAGTTCAGAAAGAGAAGGATATAACTCAGACTTCTTTTGATTTCATACACAGTCCCGGAGAGGATTATTTATGAAGTCAGAAGTAGGATAGGAGAAATACGAAGCAGGGGGAAGGTTGACCTATGAAAATTGGGTTTCCATGTTAAGGACGAAGAGTCAGGGGGACTTTTTGACAGTGAAGCAGGACTTGTGACTATGGATACGGTGTTGCCTGTCCTCACGCTGTGTCGTGCTGGTGGTGGTAGAGGAAGAGGGAGACCTGGGTGGTCTTGGAGTTGCCATATTTATTTGTCCTATTAAGTATCCCAGCAGGAGCCCCTTCTCTGCTCTCCTTAGAGACTGTGCCCTTTGAAATCCCTTGGCTGTGGTTATTTTTATAGCCTTTTCTTGAAACAATAATTCTTCTCTCTACATTTCTAGGAATCATTATTAAGCATCAGCAAATACCTGGCCATAAGTCAACTCTGTTTATACCACAGTGTCCAACATATGAATATAAAATGGTATTTGCTCAAATAAATATTACCAGAAATCTAGAGAGCCTGCTGGTCGCCGCTGGGGGCACGCTAAAAGCAGTCAGTCGTAATGCACTATGTTACTGCTTAAGAGTGCATCTTCTCCTCATTTTAATGGAGGGTTTAAATTAAAAAGATTTGTCGCATCAGCCCAGGTGAGTCATTCGCCCCGATTTACCTTCCCATCACTGTCCAGGAGGTGTCTGTATTCGGGTGGGATAGTGTCATCTCTTTCCCCCAGCTTGTCTCTGTGTTCAGCCTTAGCTTTTTCCTGGAAACATCACCAATATAATTACCCTTCATTTCCTTCTTCACACAGAAAATCCTTCATCCTCAGCATTTATTGTACTTTTCTGAGGCAAAACATATGGTTTGTTTTCATTTTTTAAGCAATGGAACAGCAAAATGGACGACAAGAGACAATTGGTGAGAAAAGCATAAACCCCCACGTTCCTATATGCCATCCCATAGGTGTAATATTTCTACTTGTGTTTTAAATTGAAATGAAGGCTTAACTAATTGTCCTCAGAAAGTATGCTAAGAAATGTTTTTGGCCGGGCATGATGGCGCATGCCTGTAATGCCAGCACTCAGGTGGCTGTGGCAGGGGGATCGCTTTGAGTTCGAGGCCAGCTTGGGCCACAAAGTGAGTTCACAGCTGGCCTGAACTGTGCAGTAAAACCTGTCTCAAAAAGCCAAAACAAACAAAAAAAAAAGTTTTTTTTTTAAAAAGACAAAAAGTACAAAATTTTTTTTTTTTTCTTTTTCTATTTGAGTTTCACTTTTCAAATGAAAACTCAGGTCACTGTATCTTGACATATACAGACATATTTATTATGTGAGTATTTTAAGCAATATTGAAGGAGCAGGATCCCAGCAAATCTGAATGGATATGTTGGCTAGGCTGCTGGTAATAAGCCATGTCACCCCAGCATTCCCACCTATGAGGCCCCACTGGTTTCTGGCCCAGATTTTGTGGTGCTCTCTACCCTGTGCCAGTGGAGTACAGATTTATTTTCCTGCATTGTTATAATTTTACTTTTCAAATACAGGTGAATTTCACATCAATATTTTTATGATAACCATAGAATCAAGATCTAAGGAGGCTTGAAAGGTCACTGGGATACTGATTTGCCTGGCCAGACAATTAATTATCTCTTGATTCCAAACCATGACCCAGAGAGCTGAAATGGATTGCTAAGTACTGTGTACTATTTAGCGTAAAGAACATTATTTATTGTATAAAATACATGGAGTTAACTGTGTTCTTTCAGACATATATCTAGCCCAACATCTCTCTTTCAAAGGTTGAACTCATTTAGGGAGACATGCACAGAAAGCTACCGGGGAAACCAAGTATGTGATCTCTGCCACTACAAATACAGGACGTGTCCACTTAAAAGATTCATATGTACGTGCATCATGTACATGATGCCCTTATAGATAAGACCAGGGAAAGTTGTTTTTTTTTTTCTCTTTTTGAGACAGGGTCTCGATATGCAGCTCAGGCTGGCCTTGAGCTCACTTTGTAGCCCAGGCTGGTCATGAACTTGAAACAATCCTCCTTCCTCAGTCTCCCGAGTGCTGGGATTATAGGTTTGCGCCACCACATCCGGCCAAGACCAGGTAAAGTTAATGTAGGAAGATAATAAAATTAAGAAAGCACAGCTCTTCTTCTCCATCATTACAAAGTCTGTTCTCATAAACAAGACATTTGCCTGTAATGGGGCCTGTGTGACAAACATCATCCTCAGTGAGACATAAAGAAATCTACATAAATCACAGAGCAGGGAAAAGGTGAGACTTAAGTTGCCCAACTGTTTGATATTTCAAACAGTCAAAAGTGTCTTTTTTCTTTTCTGTTAAAGGTAGGGTATTTTATGCTGCAAAAACCTTAAAGTTGCACTCATTAGTGAATTTCCTTTACCTTTACTTTATCCTCCATCGGTTTGTTCTCGTCTGGGTCAGGCTGCCTTTGCCCAAGACTGTCAGAGAGTTTATCCAAAGCATCATCGAGTTCTTTGTCCCTCTTCTAGAAAGTAAGCAGTTCTGGATCAGTCACTGGTTGGCCAAACTGGATCAGAAGGAAATCAGCCCAGTAACCCCATCTTTTAGGAGAGGTTTACTAGAAGAGCAAGACATCCGGGAATGTGACAAGGTGGAATGCAGGGTCTAAGAAGTGCTGCCAGTGAAAAGGGGAAAGAGCAGCAGCCGCTGTAAATGTAACAATAGGGTTGGAGGACAAACGCCATCTACCGGCCAGCTCAGCTCAGCTCCCTGGCGACTATCGCCCGCCAGCCTGTGGACATCTCAGTGGCAGTGACGTCGGGGCCACATTCCAACAAGAGACCTTGTGGAGATCACCTAGAGGTCCCAAACTGACAGAACCAATCTTTCTTATTTTTATGAAAGATTTTTTTTTTCTTTTTTTTTTGTCTTTTTGAGTCAGCGTCTCGCTATGCAGTTCAGCCTGGCCTTGAGCTCACTTTGTAGCCCAGGCTGGTCTCGAACTCACAATGATCCTCCTGCCTCAGCCTCCCAAGTGCTGGGTTTACAGGCATGTGCCACCATGCCCAGCTTCTTTCTTATTTTTAAATGAAACATGACAAGAAAAACTGGGTATGATAATCCTATGATGTTGTTAAGTGTTTAGCAAGCAGAACTTTTCAAAAGAGGATGAACATTTCTTTGGCTTTATGAGTACACTCCCAGACAAGATCCCAAACGGCACATTTTGTTAAGTAGAGCAAGATCAAATACAGGCTGCGGGAAGCCCTAGAAGCCAGCACCCAACACCTGCATAAACACAAAACCTCAGAGACAATCTGGTATCACTGAAGTAGAGAAGGCTTCTCTGTCACATTAGAGATAAGGGGCTTTAAAAGACTGAAGAAAATTTGTGGACAGGTAGGCAATCTAAAATAATTTATTTCCCTGAACAGTTGCTTACTGTATGATTCAGGTGGGGTATTTAATCTCCCTGAGCTTAAATTTCCTGAGTTGTGAGTAATAATAATACTTAAAGTCGATGAGAGGATTTTATGTTGACACTCAGTAAATTATACATTATTACTAATAGTATTATACCAAAATCCCAAGAATATTTTCAAGATATTTTTCAAATACAATGTACCCAAAATGTTGACTTCTATGTTTGTATGAACAGTGTTTAATGTCTACATTATACAAGACACCTTGCTGGGTTCTATTCAACATTGCATAGAACTTCCCAGTTATTTTAAGTTTCATCCAGTTTTAGTTGGTGCCCAAGGAAATTGTCTGGATAAACAGGTAGGATTTTTTTTTTTTTTTTTTTAGGAAACAAGCTAGCTCACAGAAGCTAGATCTGCTGTCTGGAGTCACGTTGTTAAAAAGTGGAAGGGGACCCAGAGCTTCACACTGAGAACATACAGAGCTTTTTCCTGTTGTGCTCAATCAGAGTCAAAATTTTCCATGTCCTTCCAAATAAGGTTTTCCTGTTGGGTGATTTCACTGTACAGCTCTTTAAACAATGTCATTGCTGGTGATGGTCTAATACTCCACAAAAGAAAACTCACAGGAATTATGATAGTTTGGTTGACTCTTTGATACTTGAGTATATTTATTCAAATAAAGCTTTTTACCTAGTTTTGTTGACATCGTCAAATAAAACTAACTAAAATGAGACACTCTGTTAGGAAAAGTGATATGAGAAGCATCATTCTAAAGGTTATTACTCATTCCTTCTTCTTGTTGAATAGGGACTTTTGTCATTGTGGATATGTTCACACACACCCAACACCCCCCCACACACACATGCGCGCACACACACACGGCGCTTTGCTGGCTTAAATTCCTCACTAGAGTCCAGGCTCATAGCTGCTAATGGTGGAGGTACCTGGGGCCCAGTCTGGACTGTGTCAGCAATGTCTCTGGATATTTTCAGATGATCCTGAGCTGACCCAGCGAGATGAAAAACCCCCCAGAATCTCAAACGATAGCACTAAGTAAGCTTTGATGCTACATCAAAAAGAAAGGAAGCACAGATGACTTCATGACAGCAAGTTCATTCATCTCCATCTAGCAAACACGGCGCTGTTCTCAACCAGAGACGATGGGGATCTGGTGGAGGGAAACCCCCTTATCTTTTGATGTGCTTTGGAGAATGTGTAATTTGGCACTGCACAGATAATTAATCAAGAGAGTCTGGAAGAGCTTCGGTCCCATAGCCTTGCCTCAGAACATGTAAATAATTAAGACAGCATTGATGCTTATGTTTCTCTATTGCTAGCATGAAAATGACACATTTTTACTGGTATGAATGAGAGAAAAACAACACCATTTCACGAAATGTTTGGAAATAATTTTGGAGATGCTCGAAGACTAAATCATTTCATAAAATAAAGTGAAACTGGATTGAAAATCGTAGGGTGTGAGAAATAATAAAGAAATCAATTATCAAGAAAGGCAAGACATTTTTAAAATCTAGTACTTCAATATACACATGATACTTGTTCCGCATTTGCAATTCTAATAAAGCAACAGTATTATTAAGTTTCTTGACTGTGAGTAATACGTATATGTATATATTTCCATTTAATCATTTTGCATATATTTTCTACCATCTCCCTACATCATAAATCGAAGCTCTTCTGAAATGGAAGGTACCTGATCTTTCTGAGAATGTGTATTTTACTTGTTCTGAGCAGCTATCCTACTTCTTCCTTGTTGCAGCTGCTAGAATAAATATTTATCTCCCAAATAAGACAGGACACTTACCGCAGTGTCTGGGGGCGGCCCTGCCAAGTGGGTGCTTGAAGCCGGGGTTTGGGAAACCACTTCAGAGATGGCAGCAGAAAGTTTAGCATCGTCGAATTTCTTTCATTAAAAAAAAATGATCAGTAATATGTTGTATAGAACATTATGCACACAATACCATCACTTGAAATATAACTCTTAAGAAAACTTTATGACTATTCCTTCTCTTGATTCAAATACATGCATAGTAACACGTTTAAAAGCAATTTTTCTACTTCCTTTTCCATATTATTTTATTTCATTTTATTTTATTTTAAAAATAAAAGGAAGAAAACATTAACAGACAGGCAACCACTTTTGGATGCCATTTTTTTGTGGTAGTCTTATGCCACATGGAAACTATCTGAGTGTTAAATATTTAAAAGAATTATCTTTTAACCTATAGTGGAAGGAAAGTTTAACAATATGTCTACTCTCTTCTTCAGTTTTTCTTGGTTTAGGTTTTATGAATTACTGCTTTGCTTTTTCGTTTAAAATGTCATAAAAATTTTTATACTTAATGTTTCCTAATAATGTAATTTAGCTCCTACACTAGTCGTATATTCTAATTTTTGCATTAAATTTTACTTTATTTTAAAGTGCTAGTGCTTTATAAAATGTGAGACGTTCACAAAAAACCAACAAATGATTCACTTTGACTGATCAATAACTGAGCTGACTTCTTACAAGAACTGTTACATTGCTCTCAGTTTAAAATTTCCCTTCTAACATGTGCTTTTCTCTTACATTTGCCAGCATCTTAGAAAGCACTAGTTGTTTCAAAAGCACCAATCCATGCGGCTGTTTTCATCTCCTGATTTGCTTAGTGCTGCACTTCAGATGCTCCAGGCTTCCTAATCTTCTTGGGGGTGCTTACTGTATCTTTTAGAAACTTAAATTTTAAATTCAACAAACATTTGGTTTGTCAGGTTGTCCTTTCCATTACTGATAAAAGCATTCATGATAACAGATACATCTCAGTACTTACTGCTTTGGCTGCTTCTCAAAGATTTTAATTTATAACATCTTCCTGATTTTTTAAAATAGTCTATTCTGCATTTACTTCTTGATTTCAGCATTATTACAGGAATATTTTAAAATTTCCATCTTTAAACAGAATTTCTGTTCTTTTTCTTATGCTCAGAGAACATGTGATATTTTCCCCCCAAAGTTCTTAGACAGTTCCCTAAGTAATTTTCTAGTTTGTCCATGTGATTTCTGGTTATGTCTATTAGATTGTTAATTTTTTAAGAGCAGTACTTTTTAAGGTTTTTTTTTTCCCTAAATTTTAAATCAGTTCTTTGCTTAAACAGCTTCTCAAGGTGAATGTGGGGATGTCATGTAAATTCAGCATTCCAGTTTGGATTCTTAAACAGAGCCCTAACTGTGGTAATTATAACAATGGCAATCATAATGAGGAAGAAGGCCTTGCACCCCCACAACTGGCTTGTGTGGTTTGCATTAGTGTAGTGAGATGATTCTGGGATACTAACTCACACTGTCTCTTTCCCTGTATCTTACAGTCTCTAAGCCAGTCCTGGGGTGCCTCTCTGAGATGTCTTCTGCTTCTATGGAGTAGAGGAAGGTTCTGGGCTGGGGTGACTGCACAGTACGGTGCTTTTAGGAGTGCAGTAAGGAGCATGCACTGGGTACAACGCCTCCTTGAGGGCTTATTGCTTTAGCAAGAGCAGACATTCAGGCAACTCCAAGGAATCAGCATTTCTTATCCCACTTTCCAAATGGTAAATTTTCTATGCGATGTTCCACGTAGGAATCTGTTAATGCGTTTCCAACCGACTGCCCACAACATATTCAGGAGTTCTGTGAGTTTGAGAACTCGTAACAGACTTGTATATTTACCTATTGCAAGACATAAACATCCTACAGTGGAGAAGTCTGCTTGGTATTTATTACTCAACATTGTCCAAACTTTCCAGCAAAAGAATGCCCTTAAGGGGATTATTATACATGGAGCTAAGTTTCCTTAGGAAGAAATCTGGAAAATGATAAATATTGTAAATAACAGATACAGTGAGCCAAGAAGTGATTTTGGATAAATTGAAACTTACATTCTCTTTCATAAAAGTACTTGGTATTAGTCCATGTTCATGGGTCCCAGTTATGAGACTGTGGAAACCCTTTCCACTGTTATAGTATGATATTTCAGGGTGGAGCACATTTTTATCAGTTATAGTAGGTTGAGGACCATTAACTTTATAACTGTTTCCTTAGCTCCCATGTCAGACTGTAAGTTATAAGTTTCCACGTATTTCCATCAACAATAAACCAGGAGTTTGAGACTTACAAGAGATGAGGTATCTGCAGCACTGGAGAAGTCCTGAGACAACGCGTCAAGAAGGAAGTCATCACTCATGGGCTGCAAAAACCGGAAAAGCTATCAGCAAAGACATCGGTCCGCTCTTGCAGGTGTTGCCACTAATACATGCTAATTGGCTCAGTAAAAGAAAAGCTATCCCCTCCCCCAATTTTTTTCAAATGTGCAACTCAATAGTTTTATTCAATGATGTTCAATGGCATTCAAATATATATGAAACTATTATCAAGATCAATATTTGAAAATATTTATTAACCCCAAAGACAACTGTATACTTTAGCTATCGACTCTCTATTCGCCAATCTCCAAGCAATCATTAATCTACTTTTCATCTGTCTATGTTTTTCTAGATATTTCCATGTAAGTGGAATCATATAATGTGTGGTGTTTTGATACTGGCTTCTTTTATCTAGCATAATGGTTTCAAGATTCATCCACAGTGTAGCATACTTCACTACTTCATCCCCTTTTATGACTAACATTCCATTTCTTCCCAGATTATTAGTTATCAATCAGTGCCAAAAGGACAGAGATATACTCATAGAAAACTGGTTTGCTTACTGGAAGTGGTTCCTTGGCTTCTTTTGGCAGGAGTGGTTTTCCATCTTTATCCTGTTCAAGGGGAAATGTTATTGAATCATTTCACACTCTATCTCAACTATGAAACCTGCACTCATGGCAAAGAATACACAGATAATACCTGCTGCTGTATACTTTAAATTGGATTCATCATTGCAGGGGATGTTCTATCAGCAGAGAATGCACTATTATTAAGTTGATGTCAGCAGTTTGCTCACTTGCACAAGGTATTCCCAAGGCACAGGGTCTGCACAAATTAGGCATGGCTTATGGACCCAGAACCCAAGGGACCCGCAGTGCAGGAGAAACACACACACAACCATTGTGGTGGTGTGACGGGGATTTGCAGAGAGTAGGAGAGGAGCCCCTCACCTACCTGGGGTGGGTTTTGAAGTGGTTGCCTGAAAAACTTTGGCTAACTACATAAACCATGCATCCAACTAACATGCATTAACTGTACCAAGCCCTAACCTAAGTACTGGGAATGCACAAAAACAGCAGCAGGTTCTGGCCCTCAGGGAGCTTGTCTTGTGGATGGGATGCTCTGACACTCCAGGCTCAGACTATGTCAAGCCTGATATGACTCTAAGCGCTACGTTTGAACAACACGACAAATATGACAAAACTGAGAAATCATTTGGGCTATTAAGTAGAAGATCTGTACGTAATGGTACACCCCATTTATCTCCAGACACACAAACATATAAGTACAAGGATGTATATGAAGATTTCTCCTGAGAACGTTGTCAAAGTGGGTGCTTCTTCATTTTGTTGCATGTATTTAAAATGTGTGGTACAAGGGTCTGGAGACTCGTCCCCTGGACATAAACTCCTGTACCCTCTTCCTTCTCCTCCTGCTCTCCAGGTCACGTGTATCTTTGGACCTCCCTTCAGTTCAGAAGGGAAGCAGAACCTGAGCTTGCTCTGCACCACTTGTTCACTGCAATGGCGGGAAGTGACCCATATGACATATGGGACCTGGGGGACCTTACTGCTATACAAGATGAAATTGAGCTCCCACCCCCCATGCAGTAAAAGCCAGTCAAGTGCAGTTACTCTTTATTGTAGGTGGCTGGTTAGTTGCTTCCTGTCTTCACTGAAATTTCAACAGCAGTGTTTCCGTGATTAGCTTTCCTTCACCACTTTATCCCATGGCAGTTTCCTCTGAACTTATCTAGCATATTATTAGTTATCTGTTGCTTTACTATGCTTCCAGGTGTTTACTTGATCTCTCATTTAAATGCCAAGTTGTTACCCACCAACTACACCCACTTCAGTGAGGAGCAGCTCCCTGAGGGCAGACCTCACATCTCCCCACACACTCAGCGAAGAGGTTCTGCGTCCACACATCTGCCCTGCTTAAGTGACTGCATTTAATTTATGAGGTTCACAATGGGATCTTTCCTTGCGTCACTTATTTTTTACGACCTGTACTTTAACCATAAAGGAAATGGGTCAACTTCTCACTTTATTCCATGTTAAACTGGCTCTCATGTTTTCAATTTATATCTAAGAGTTGCAAATTTTGCCTAATAGCAAATAACTGTTTCTCATTTTGTATTTCCTATGAGCACAAGGTTTGATACATTCTTGCATCGTAGCAAAGCATGGCTTGAAGGGAAAGCACACATAGCCTAGCCTTAGATTTCTTTCACTTAAAGGACTGAAAGACCGCTTAAGGGTCCTGTAGCTTTATATTTGGTGTTCCAACAGGATATTTGTGGACTAATACTATTTAATGATTAAATATTAATAAACAAGATCTTTATATTCCAGGTCTATTCTTATGTGTCTTTTTTTCCATCTTTTTTTTTTTTTTTGGTTTTTCTCCGTTACCGGGAACCAAACTCACGACCTTGCGCTTGCCAGGCAGGCGCTTTTGCCGCTGAGCTAAATCCCCAGCCCCCTCATGTGTCTTTTTTATGTATATAAAGTTGAGTACATTTAAAATAAGATATGAAAATATCCCAGCCTGTTTACCTTGACTTCTTCTAATCTATACTCAGGTGGAATTGTTTCTTCTTTTTCACCAAGTTTTTCACGGTCTTCTTCTTTGGCTTTCTCCTGAAGAAGGATCGGACCATTTTTGTTGTTAATATATCTTTTTTTTATGAAATGGATACTTGTGTGACTAAATTGGAAGCAAACTATTCTCTCATTAGGTTTATGTACACATACGACAGCCCCATGTTGAGATTTCCCCAGCTATTTAATCTTTGATACGGTATCCTGTCTCAGCAGGCTCAGAACACCCATAGGGGCTGCTGGGTAAGAGGCAGGTTGTGATGGGCAGTAGGCAGCCGCTGCTTCTCTCAGGTCCTCAGGGACAAGCAAAGGTAAAAGTGGGCAAATATGGACATAGGCATACTCATCCACTGTGGTGTTTAAACACTGCTGCTTCCTCAGGCTAAGCTTATTTTACAGGATATGTGCAGTGATAGAAAAAGCCAGCTGGTCATGTTTTGTGGAAAATACTTTTTTAAAAAACAAATTTATGGGGGGGCAGTGTTCAACGATAGTCATTTTCTGAAAGTACCTGAACTGCCGTACCTTGATTTTATCCATCACAGGTTTTCCCTCTTCTGGATCTGCTTCCTTTTTCCCCAGGCTACCAGCCAAAGCCTCTACAGCATCCTCTGGCACTGTGCTCTTCTGGAAGGACAGAGGTGCAGACCCTAAGTAGGAGCTGAGTCACCCCTTTTAAAACAGACCCTCTCAAACAATTCACAAACGTGTGTCCTTATTTCAGGCCTAGAGAAGAAGTATGCACCACCTCTTAATAATTTGAATTATCCATTGAGTTAGAATCGGCATTTAGAAATTGAAATGCTAAAAATGAGAACAAGTTTCTTACATTAAAAGATTAAACAGGACGGGCTAGGGATTTAGCTCAGTGGCATAAGCGCCTGCCCGGCAAGTGCAAGGTCTTGAGTTCGATCCCCAGTACCACAAATAAATAAATAAATAAATACAACCAAAAAGTCATTAAATGTGTGTAGTGAGGAACTTCAGGGTTTAGGAACACAGAAGATAAGGAAGGTAAGAGATGCTGAAAGCCAGGAAAGAAGAGAGAAGTGGTCTTTCTGACAATCTTTCTATAGACAGTACAGAAAACCTTCTCCCCCATTCTCCAGGACATGGCCTGGCAAGTGTCAGGGGAGGAAAGTGAGGGAGTGGGGAGTGTTTCCACTACCGGACTTCTCCTACCTGGACAACTAACCTGGAGGCACTGTGACAACTGACTGATGTGGTCCAGCTGTTCAAAATGGAATGTGCCCCCTCATGAGGTCAGGAGCTCGGGCCATGCCGGTATTTAAAATGAACAGGTGGACACTGAGCATAAAAGATGAAACCAAATTTGTGCTAAAAGATAGGACTAGTTCTGGCTTCTCTTAGTGATCCCATAAAAGTCAACTGAATGGTTGGGTCAGGACTTTTTTCTTTAACAAAAATAGGATAGAGAAAAGAACACATTGTATATAACATGGTTAAGTATCACTTATTGAACTGTTTTTCTTATTTTCTGTACCGGGTTGCAATATCAATGAGTTTTGTACTGTTGGTCTTAGTCAAAGGAAAACCCTTGGACTAGCCAGTCTGAGGTTTTTTGTTTTTTTTTTTTTTTTTTTTTCTCTGGTACCGGGAACCGAACTCATGACCTTGCACTTGCCAGGCAGGCGCTTTGCCGCTGAGCTAAATCCCCAGCCCCTGAGGGTTTTTTTTTAACCTTTTTTTGATATTGGAGATTGAACCCAGAGTCTTGCGTGCATGCCAAGCCAACATTTTACTACTGAGCTGCATCCCCAGGCCTCAGAGTTTATTCCCATCATGAAAATCTCTGATATCACATCAAGGGTCTAGTGGACTTATTATAAAAATATCTTCCTCATAAATAAATAAAAATGCCTTCCTAAGATATCTTCATTATATATTTTACATATAACACATAAATGTATATTAATATATGTGTATGTGTATATATCTTAGCGATCATCACGCTAAGTGAGAACAACTGTTTTTCCGATACACTGTACTACAGAAGAAAGGATCACCCATGAGGAAAGAAAAACTCAGTGTCAAGTGATTTACCACCACCTAGTGGTTAGACTCTGTATAAACTTCCACTTTTTAAAATCCCTGATGTGTATACATTGTTCGGGATTATACCTAATGTGCAAGTATTGGACTGGTACCCAAGTCTCTTCCAGACAGTCTGAGCAGCTGCTGACCTGAGACACCTGCGTACCCTTCCATTCTGTATTCCCAGTCCCTGAGCTGTGGAACCTCTGGAAACTGCTGCTTCGCAAACCTGCACTCTTTGTCACCCTCTGATTTAAGACTTACTAAAACCAAATTAAAAGAAAAACTAGGAGAAGCAGTTTTAAGAATCAAAGAATCCGAAAACAGGACCCCGCACCTATTGTCAAATTCAGAACCAGACCTCAGGTCTCCAAATTTCCTTCATACATTTTCTTTTTACACACACAAGAACCACGCTGGTCACACACTCACCTCCTCTCCAGGGTCTGTTTCCCTTCACTCACTGATCCTCAGGCTTTGAGGCCGCTGACCTTTATAAGCACTATTCTTTCTGGCTTCCATGGGTGTCAAATCCCCCAACCGCTAACTGCTTCAGTGACCGTAACCTTGGCAACTGTGGCCTGAGTTGGTGGAGTAGAGACCCAGGAAAGGATTCCAGGGAAGAGATAGAACAGAGCTCTTTTGCCCTCCAGTAAATACCCAATGTTGAATCCTCTATAACCAGAATAAAGTTGGAAAGCCAAGGCTCCTAAAGCCCTCCACGGCAATTACATTTGGCACACAAAGACAGCACAGGTGTTGGTCCAAGAGCTCTGCCCTGGAATGCTCTCTGTTATCTTTTTTGTTCTAATCGCTACCTCCTGCTGGTCACTGGAGTCTCTCTTGATTTTCTTTGCTCCTTTTCTTACCACCATGGCCTGTGGCCTGACCCTCACAAGTAAAAGCTTCTAGAGTCCCTGAAACCTCAAAAACTTTCACAGGTCGATGAGGGTGGATCAAGTCCTGCCTAAGGCGGAAGGGAGACCTACAACTCTCAGGATTTGCAACTGGCACCACACACTTCCCTGGCAGGAGGCAGTCAATGCACAGCACTCAAATACTTGAGCTCCTCTGTCACCTCCTTTTTTTTAAGCAACTGAATGCACCCATCCCCTCGCAGGCCAAGGGCTTCACATTTCTGTTCTGGTCTGTCCCGGCTCACCGGCCTCCCTGGAAAATGGTGCTATTCCCACTTCTCATTGCCTTTTACCTGCAAGCCCTTCCTAATTCTCCCTGGACAGGGACTATTTTGCCCATATTCCATCTGCCCCTTTTCCATATGAGAATGATCAAGCCATACCCTAAAGCAGGGATACCACTGATCTCAGCTGAAGCTATGAAATATGAGACTAGTTGCTCAAAGTTAACTCATAATCTCCTTTCCCCTTCTGTTCATCTTTCCCTCATCTTCTGATGCCCAGAACAGAGTTTAGTGTCCTTCTAAATACAGAATGAGAAGATACTGCAAAGCTTAAAGAACAGTGGCATCACAGATGATGAAATCCAACTATTCACTGAAGTACATAGTAGAATGTTACTCTCTGCATCAGATTTTTTTTTTTTTTTTTTCCTCCGGTACCAGGAACCGAACTCACGACCTTGCGCTTGCCAGGCAGGCGCTTTGCCGCTGAGCTAAATCCCCAGCCCTGCATCAGATTTTATCATCAGCCAGTGGAAACAACACTCACTGAAATCAAAAGGAAACACACATTCAACTAATTAAATACTATCCTTCATTCAAAATTTAGAAAGTGAGAGGGAGACAAGAAACAAAGAAGGAAATGAAAAAAAATTTAGTCACTCTTTCCTCCTAAAATTTAGTTGGGAAAGTAGAAAGGAGTCCTGATGATTTTGGTGCACATCATGTATTCCACTGGGACAGTCAGTGGAAAACATAGCTCCAGGCTATCTGTCCAACTCAAAAAAGACTTGAAAGATGCAGAAAAGGGAGAAGCAGGATTATTCAGGATTATTGTCAGCTATGACAATAGCTGAGGAAGTATAAATCGCTTCAGAAAATGAAAGAAAAACACAGCTCACAACAATTTAATGAAAAGTTTAAATCTGGCCAGCATTTCCAGTACATCTCTGAAGTCCAAAGAACAACAGATAGTAATGAATAGCAACATCAGAGTTTATCTGTATTTTCTCAGAATAAAAGACATCATAAGAATAAGAGAGATCATCAGATGGTAAATTAATACACAGCAGAGAGTTGTGGGAGAACAGAACTCTCTCAAGACACTTCACGACACTCCAGGCATCACTCACCGAGGAAGCTGGCTTGGCCGCCGAGGAAGCTGGCTTGGCCGCCGAGGAAGCTGGCTTGGCCGCCGAGGAAGCTGGCTTGGCCGCCGAGGAAGCTGGCTTGGCTGCCGAGGAAGCTGGCTTGGTCGCCGAGGAAGCTGGCTTGGCCGGCGCTGCCTGTATACTACACATGGAGGAGGAAGACACCACCTCTGCCACGGGAGCGGAGGCAGCAGCCTTAGATTTCTGGAGAAAGAAGTCAGCACTGTGAATAACTTCAGAAATAGCTCTTAATAAGACAGTACTGATGAATCAACATGACACTCTGAGATTATATATTATGAGCGTGATTCTCCTGAACACGTAAAGATTGTCAAAGCATATAAAAAGTCTTCAGCTGTCATTATTTCAGCTTGGAGGTTCTGCTTCCACAACTGCAAAAGTGAGAACAAAGCTAACTCGTAGACTTGTAGGGTTGCTATGAGGTTTAACTGAGATAACACACATGAGGTGCTATGCACACTACCTGGGAACACTGTCAATTCCATACATTTGAGAAATTATTGCTAGTATTTGTTATTTCATTTATATTATTTCTTTGTCATATAAAAGTGAAATATAGCATTATATAGTACAATATTACATAAATATATATATATAAATCTAAGAGCACACTGAGAATTAGAAATAGCTATATGGATGAATTCAAGGGCGCACTTCTGTTCCAGCTGTTCCCAAGACTAACAGCCTCTTCACTACCAGGGAACTGGCTAGAAATACAGATTCTTGCCCACCCTGGGTAATAAAGCAGAAATTCTGGGGATAGAACCCTGCAAACCATGTTTTAATACACCTTCCAGGTAATCCAAATGCATGCTAAAGGTGAACCACTGTACTATCTTATCAGAAGAACAAAAACTGAAATTGTTTTAAACCCAGTTATTTACAAAAGCCTAGCCTATGTGCAAGGTACTCAGATGATAATCAAAAGGGTGCAACCTCCTCTTTTAAAGAACTTATTATTTACTTAATGCTACATACTAATGTTAGAAATGAAAGACTAATAAAACTAAAACTTGCTTCAAATGCTTTAACAGGGATATATAAAAATACCGACAGCCCACAGCCCACGTTGTAGTCTCCTTAATACAGATCAGAAGGGTGGTACACTTAAGGTGGGGGAAGCAGGAGATAAAAAAAGGTCATTTGCAACAGAACCTTAGAAGAATAAGACTTCAGTTACCCTCAAGTTAGAAGGAAAGGTCACTTCAGGCAGGAACTGAATAAGAAAAACCTTGGAGACACCCACGCTTATTGTTGCATGATGCAGAGACCCAGCTTGCGGGGAGCTGAAGCTGGGGCTGGATGCTTCTGTAGGAACTTTTGTTTTGTAGGAAATGGGAAACTCCTGGGTGGGGGCAAAGGAATGAAGTGATCACAAACAGGCTTCAGAAAGAATCATTCTGGTGAGCATGGATGACGGGGGAGAACGAAACTGAAGAAGACCGCCAAGATCCCAAGGGGAGAGGCAATGGCAGCTTCAGTGAGGTCCACCACAGAAGCAGAAATAGAAAGGAAAGCACAGATTTGAGGCTTCCCTGAAGGAATAAGTGCAGCACTAAAATTGCAAGAGCATCAGGATTAGCACGGGGAAAGAAAACACATCCGGGAAAAGATAAGGCAAAACCTGCATGTCTAAAAGATGGTACAAAGGGCTTCCTAGCCAAGTCCTTCATGCTAAAATAGTTTTGGTTTCACATATTTTAAGATTAAAAAAACCATAACAACCTCCCCAAACCAGAGATTCATATTTTCAGAAACATACTTCTGTTTTTTCAGTTGGCTTAGATTGTTTTTCTTTACATTTAGCCAGGTCAAAATCTTCTGAAAGTTCATCAATGAGTTCTGATTCACTCCGGGGCTGTAATATAAGAAACACTGTATATTATGAAGTGAATGTTTTTACTTTGTAAAAACATGTTCTCCTAGAGCAATATTTTTCCTGGTTAACATGTATTAGGCCATATTTTAGGATCTAAAACCAAAATCTAATTTATACAGGGCATATTTTTCATTTATCAATGCAAGATGAAAATGTCATGAAACAAGTAAGGAATACTAAATACCTCAGTACTACAAAAAAGCATTAATGGTTTATTTAATTAAAGGTTTTCCTGGTATTTCAACTACAGAAGAATGTTTTTCAAATCAAATTGGATGGTATATAACTTGTTTTCTTAATAAGTCAGAAAAAATCCAGGTCATATATTCTTTTCCGTTGCTCATGTGCACATCTGGTGGGCATATTCTATATTCCTGGATCTTTCCCGGGAGGTGGTACTCTAAGTTCAGGGCTGTGAGTAGATGGAATTCTACAAACTAAGTGCTAACACTCTCATTGAGCCCTCTTGGCATCGACTCCTAATGTTCAGAGAGTGTTTCCTAGAAACTTACAGCCTACTAATAATTCATTAACAAAATAATCATTAGAATACACAAAGAAGAGCTAGGGATACCAGCCAAATGTCACTGTCAAAAATTTTCCTCCTCAACATTAGGGGAGGATTAAGTCTCCACTGTGAAATCTTGTCTGTCAAAAGTATCTTAATTTGTGCTTTATATTTCTCTTGTTTTTCAAATACCAGGGGAAAAAAAATATTTTTTCCAACCTTAGGTTTTTCTTCAGGCTCTGGCAATAGTGGTTTTCCGTCTTTATCCTACAAGTAAAGTTGAAAAGTTACTGTAAGTAAAATTGAGAATTTTGCTTCCATTTCCCTTCACATTTGGTTTTGAGAATTCCAGGGTATGAGATATGAGCTTATTTTTTTCTTACATTTGAGAAAATTTATGATTTAGATTTACCTTTTATAAAGCATTAGAAACACTGTATGAAAATTAAGAGACCAAAGAAAATTAAGAGACCAAAGAGCTATGAAAATTAAGAGACCAAATATGATGCACATTTACTTCCCATTAGAAGTTAATGAAGAAACAACAGGATCACAAGTTTGAGCCCAGTGTGGGTAATGACAAATCAGTAAGATTATGTCTCCAAAAGAGATATAAATAAAAAAGGACTAGGGACGTAGTCAGTATGGAGGCGCTGGATTTAATCCCCAGTACTACAAAATTTTTAAAAAAAAGTTAATGAAAAAGTTGTTTGCTACCTGTTAGGGCATAATTTATAAAAGATCTTTGGGGAAAAGAAAGTGTAACTACATTAATAGAAAATTTTTTAAAAGGCTTAATTCTCCAACCCGGGATGAAGAGATATATATCATATCATATCATTCCTGTAATAAATATTATTTAGTTTTTTTAAGTATGAAGTTTCACAATTTAGAAAATTTCAAACAATGAGAAATTTTCATATGTGCATATATGTAAATCACAGTTATTTTCTACCTCATATTTACATATATTTCCAAAAACAAATTACAAATGTAATTATAATTCACCACTCCCACCACAAATCAAAACAGCGCAACTACCTCAATACTGTACTTTTAGAGCTACCATTTAGAGATCTGTGGTGCTTTTGGTTCATATTATAATTAGAAAAAACATTATTCCCAACTTGTCCTTAGGTTTAAAGTGAAGGATCAGAGTCAAGCACTGTGAGTAGTACAACAGTTGAATTTGTGGGAACGTTACCGACAACACAGTCACACTCAGGAAGCCAGGCAAGGACAAACCATCGCATAAGAGCGGAGGACAAAGGGCTTGGCGTGTTCAGAGTTAACATCGGAACAAGCATAGGCTTGTCCTAAGGGAGCAGCGTACAGACAAAACAAAGCATGATGCCAAGGAGCAGGAAGTGTGTTGTTGTTATGCTGACTGTACCGTGGCTGGTTTTAGCCTGTACTCGGATGGCACTGTTTCCTCATCCTCACCACACTTCTTTAGTCTTTCTTCTTTAGCTTTTGCCTAATGAAAGTGGAGAGAAAAAGACAGTAGTTGGATAATGCACGTAAAATGAGATGACATCACTTCCTTTGTGTCTTACAGAGAACACCAAACCAGGTAATAGTGTCCAGAAGAGCTCCAGAAACCACAAGGCACAAGGCCATCGTGAGCAGCTAGCAGCAAGGCAGCAGAAGGTGACAGTACAAACAGCATGGCTAGGAAACTCTCGGCGTCCTGCCCTGCTGTCAGGATCTAGTCACCCAGGCTTTCTTTGGTCTGCTTTATTCGGCTGTAAAATGTGACTCGAACAATCCTCACTGAGCTCACTGGCTCATCAGAGAAAAGAAAATAAAAGATCCTTGGAGGACAGTAGGCAAGGGTGGAAGTTAGCTGCAATTATTTTAATAACCTTTATCTGCCTGATACAATGAGGAAGTTATCTACAGAGTGGAGAGGTGCACAACTGATTCTCACACCCAGCTCAGAAATGGGAGAGACATCACAGATCTTGGCTGATGCACGCACTGGTGTAAGCTTTTTACAAGGATTTCCTTCAATAGGGGAGTCTTGCATGATGCCACTGCACCAGCGGCACTGTTAGGACTCCTTTCAATAATGCCAAAACTTCACTGGTAGCTGACCATGAACAACTGATTACATCAGAAATAAAAGTGTAGTTGCAGAGCACATCACTGACTTATGGGATATAACATGTCCCATTGAATCTACTGGTGAGTTGGGAAATATTCCACAATGTGTAATCATCAGTATCCATATGAAGAAGCCATACCTTTAATTCACAAACCGTAAGGGGCAGTTTCCTAACTCCATCTGTTTGTATCTATATGTCACTCACAACCACAGTTCCCACTAGATTCACTAGCTGATTACTTTTAAAAATGTATTAAGCATTTCTAATGAGTTCCTACTTTAAGCTCTGGAATTGTTGTTTTATTTTTCTATATGACAACCCTCATTAAGGGATAAGAGGTTTTTGTTGTTTCTTTTAAACTGTCCAGTTTTACTCCAGTGCAGCATATAGAGGAAGTTTTCTTAGGTACTATTACCCTCTATTTCAGGGATTTGTAAGATCTTTGGCCACAAAGCCTCATGAACTCAAGGGCCTCCTGTATAGTGAGACGGTCTTCCTCACTACACTCCAGGCTGCAGATGGACAATGAGCGCTGTATACTCTTAGACCTTTTCTTTTCTTTTTTGATCCTAATATTTCTGAAATACCTGTCTTACGAATTTTATACTGTAGGCATTGGGAAAAAAAATCTATCAAATTGACATAACACTGGATGATGTACCCTATCTAAAAATGGGAGGGGACTTAGAGTAGGCACTATTACAGAATAAACATTTAATTCATGTTATGATACATTGCAACATAAAAATTCAGCAGGCACGGGTCTCTTTGGAATGGACACAGTTTCCACAGAGAGCTCTCTGCAGCAGAGAATCTGCCTGAGTTTGGTACTGGACTCCTGAGTGGTAGCAAATGTTAGGAGTTTTATCACAACATTCAGATTGTAAAGACTCACCATCAAGGACTATGAATTCAGTTCAAGAAGCTAGACAACTGAAAGACAGTCTCAGAAAGTATTTATGTTTTGGATAGGGTTAAAAAGCAAAACCAGAATGTCGTAAGGGTGGAAAAGGAGCTCTTTTTGCTGGAATTTTAGTTTGCTGCTATCCCACACTTTCCTAGAGGAAGCGGAATACATTTCATATGCACCCCCAAAACAGCTACGCACACTACTTTATGAGTTCTTTTCATGTCACTTTTTATATCTACTTATCTGGTTTTAGTCACAGTAAGATTCCTTTTTTCTGGGATTTATATCATGTGTATACCTTCCCTGCCCACATCTACTGCCTTATAAAATCACTCTGTAAAAAGCCTAAGGCAAAAGTGTAATGCATTGCTGCCATGTAGCCCTTGGGTGGTGAAACTACAATTCAACCTAGTCTCCCGAGTGCCCCAGAGCTCAGGCAAGACCATCCTTTCCTTGAGATGGTGTGGCTTCTATGTGGCTACTTTGAGTAATGTACATCTTGCAGTGTTGTAGTCATGGTTCCTTTTCTTCCCAATACATTACTTGGTCCTGAAGGATAGGGACTGCCTCTCCTGCTCCCTGGTGTTCGCTGCCACAAAGACTGCTGTGCCACACTGTGGTCGGGGAGCCCTCCAAGAAAGAAGATAGAAACTGGCCCATCATAGACCAGCACTGACAAATGATTCCTGAGAGTCAATGATGATGACTTAGAACAGGAAGTGACATCAGAGGCGGAGGCATTGTGACAGACACTTGCCAGCTTCCCTTCCCTGAGCTGATAGGGATACTTCCACCTCTTCTAAGACATGGCCTGGAGGAACAGGCCACTCTTCTTTCCTTCTTTTCCCTCAGAGAACCAAGTTGAAAAATTCTGTAAAAATTGTAATTTAATATCAAAGCTTTCCCACAGCAGAGACACATTGTGTTGGCTCAGAAGGCTTGATGGAATCTCCAAAGGTGGTGAGATAAACTCACGGGTATCATGCTCTAAATGTGCAGGAGCTCATTGGTGAGTAATTCTTGTTGATTTTATTGTCATTTGAGACAAATTCTTTAATGTCTTTTTCCAGTTAGGCAAGAAGGATTTCCCAAACCTTCATAGCCATCTCTCTCCTTATAAAAAGATATGCCCAGAGCCCTTCAGAAAATACAAATTAATGATTTCCATGAGAGCAAACAGACCTCGCTCTTTCTTACAGTCCACTGTTTTCATTATCTTGTTTAGTCAGCTACCACTTAAGCTTTGAAAGAGGAGATTAGTGTTCATTTCACATATGAAAATTCTAGGCAATTTAGAAGACAAACACTCAAATATCTCTCCTGGTTGTTAACTACCAGCAATAAATGTCTAAACTAACCAGATTCTCAAACCAAGGCCAAATGAAAAGAGTAGTTCATTTTTAATCTCTAATAAAATGATATCCATGCAAGAATTTTAAACATAGGCAAAGCATCCAGTCTTGTAAGCTGCAGGCTAAGAAGAAGCTGCACCTATCAGTGCTAAGGTCAGTACCTCATCAACTTCCTTAATAGAGCTGAGGTCGAGCTCAGGTTCTGGTTCCCGGGTGCCCAGTGAAGCTGACAGAGCATCAACTGCTTGATCGGTCATAGCATCCTGTTAAAAATGAGAAATTCTGGGCATGAAAAAAAGAAAACCTTTCCTGAGCCCATGCAATCCATTTCTTCTTTGTGAAATACGCATTTTCAAAATAAAGATGAATTGTGGACTGGGAAAATACTTAGGAAGGCAATTTTACTTGAAACCCAAGCAAAAGAAAGAAAGGAAGAAGAACTTACCAGTGAGTGAAAACTGTGGTCAGCACACGTTCCTATAGTAAGGGCCCTCTCTGGGGTATCCTTCTCCCCTTATTTTGCAAGTTAGAAGTATAACTACACAAAGTATATTACTGTAAAATAGCCTTATCAAAATGAAGCTGTAGGTACCGAAATTTCACTGTCCCGTGAAAACTTGTCTCTCAGAGTGGCTCCTGACAGCTCTGCGCTTCAGCAAACCAGCAAAACTCAGGAAGCAGGGAAACGTGAAGTATGCCCGACACTGTCTTCTCTGGAGGCACAATGGCTCGTGGTGGAAGGAACTCCCACTCTCAGGGTGTGGTGCTCAGCACTGCTCCCCCAGTCAGCCAGATAAAAATAAATTATCCATTCTGGGAGAGCAGATGCAGAAGCAACTCTGATAGAAACTGTCCTTTGCATTTTCTGGACCTGTGCATGAAACATGTTTTCACAACCAGCCCAGAGTTGCAGAATGGACTTCAGGAATTAGGAGAAGACAGGTGATTGTAGTTAAGAGAGTAGGCAGAAAAAACTACGGTGATATCTCTCTAATGATCTATATGGCTCAAAAGTAAGCTTAAGAATTTGTGTCCGACGAATATAATTCTGGTTTCTGCCCCTCTGTGTGTTGTAATGGTAAGATGAACTTAGATCACAACCAAGAAGCCTGTGTAAAAATCACTCACAAGGATTTACAGACACACATAGGCTTGGCTGGAGAGGATCAATAAAGCTATACTGGCTTTACTATTCTACACAGCACCCAGGAGGAAACCTGCTCCTCACTGTGTGTAATGCCCTACTAGGGTTATTCTGAATAAGCAAGAACAGGTCCAGGAAAGCAACCGCTGTCAGGTGGACCATGGTTATTTTCAAAGAAGAAATTATTGGCCGGGCATGGTGACTCATGCCTATAATCCCAACACTCTAGAAGTCTGACGCAAAAGGACAGAGTTCAAGTGACTTAGTGAGACCCTATATCAAAATTTTTAAAAGGGCCAGGAAGATAGCTCAGTGCAAAGGTCCTAGGTTCAATCCCCAGTACGGGAAGAGAAAAGAAAAAGAAACAAAAAAGAAATTATTGGTACCTCCTCTACTTTTCTTTTCTTCTCCTGGGGCGGAGCAGCACTTCTCATTACCCCAGCTGACTGAGCTTTTAAAACTTCTCCTGTAGATTTCTGAGGAACAAAACACAAAAGATCAGGTTGACAGATGAGGGAAATTTAATTATAGTAACCAGAACTAAAATATTCTAATGAGTTCTTAACAACACTAAAAACAGTACCTGTTTGTCAGTTTTCTCTCCACCAGCAGTAGGAGAACTGCAGGTAAAGTCAGATGACAAAGCATCTATAGCATCATCAGGCCCCATGGGTTTCTAAAGAAACAAACATCAGGGCCATAACTTATGGAAGACATTCAAGTCAGAAAAGAGATTATAAATGCAACAAAAGAATGTATTTTTGCATTCTTCCATTGCCAAGTGAGATACATTAATGGAATAAGTCAGATCAAAGCTTACATTTGGAAAGAAACTGGTGTCTCGTAAGTACAATTTTCCTCTTCTACTCTTTAAGAATTACATGGTAGGATATATTCATTCTATTGTTACTAACCTTCTGGTTTATTGTTATTGTTAATACATTCTTGGCTCTATTTTCCTGCCCCAGAATAAAAGCAACACAGGAGGAGAAGGAAAACTAACAGAACCCCATGCACACCTTTCTCTGAAAAGACAAAAACATCACCTGCTTTAGAAATGAGTTTGGTCATGATCCCCAATATAGAACTGGTAGCCCTCTTCCCCCGACCAAAGATAAAGATAACACTGATTTACATCTTAGAAGCCATTTATATAAACTCACCGATGAGTCTGGAGGAGGCCCTTTGATGACTTTTTTCTGAAAAATATTAATTAGATGAGGTTGAGAAGGCAAAATATATTCCCAGTGTTTGACAGACAGAACTGTGTCCTTCTCCAAATTTGTATGTTCAAGTCCTAATTCTTAATACCTCAGAATGAGACCTGATTTGGACACAGGGTCTTTGCAGAAGTAACCAAGTAAAGGAGAGGTCATTAGGGTGGGCCTTACTCCAATATGACTGTTTTCCTTGTAAAACAAAGACCCAGAGAAATGCACTGAAGGAAGGTGATATAAACAGACATAGAAAATGACCATCAATAAGCCAAGCAAAGAGGCCTAGAAAGGAGCTTTCTGTTACACCCTGCAGCAGGAACCAACCTTGCTGACAACAACCCTGGACATCTAGCCTCCAGAATTGTGAGACAATACATTTCTGTTGTTTAAGCTACCCAGTCTGTGGTACTTTGTTATGGCATCACTAGCAAACTAATACATGGAGAGCTCCTTGGTAATGACCATTTCATATGCCCTGTATAGTTTCACAGGCCCTGTTAAATCTAAAATGTTCCCCCAAAGTCTCACATGCTTGGAGCATGACTGGGTCATGGGGGCACTACATTCATCAGTGGACTCACCCACTGATGAGTTGAGTCACTGAGTGTGCTAGCAGATAGTGAGACCTGGTTGGAGGTGGGTCACTGGGGGAGTGACCTGGAAGGCTATATATCTCCCTGCCAAGCTCCTCTTTTTGCTCTCTACTTCCTGGCTGCCATGGTATAAGCAGCTGTCCTCTGCCCTGGTCTTCTTACCATGCAGTTCTGTTGTGGAGCAAGGTGACCATGGATCCTCTCTTCCTTACATTGTAGATGTCAGGAATTTTGTTTCAGTGACAGGAAAGTGAGTAAGAAAGGTGTTGATATCAGGACTGAGACTGTTGCTGTGAATGTACCTGACTGTGTGGTCTAGAAGCCTCTAAAACATGTTTGTGAGAAGAGTTTAGAAAAATTTGGAGAAGTAGACTAGAAAAGCCCTGTAATGTGGTGAGCAGAGGTTGATGTGCAATACTGGTCAGAGCTTAGAAAACCAGGCTGTTGATAGAAATGCACAGTAAATGCTAGGCTCAGGAGATTTCTGTTGGAAATAAGGACATCACTGGAAGTTGGACAAAAGCCATGTGTGTCATACTCTGATAGAAAATTAGTGCTCATTTTGTTCATGTCCTGAGACTGTGGGAGACTGAATTAAGGACAAGTAGTGGACTAGTTGATCTGGTGAAGGAAATTTCAAAGTAGCTCAGTGTTTAGGCTGTGGTATAGGTAGGTACTGCTGGCTGCTTTTAGCCAGATCTACAGTGAAAATCAGTAACAAACAATAAAGCTCAATGATTTGAAAAAGTTTGGAGTTTTGCCAGAAAGGAAGTACCTAGAAGTTTGGTGCAAAGGAGGCATGGATGTTAAAAAGATCAACATTAAAAGGAAGCTAAATAGTTTGTATCAGAACAATAAAAAAGATGGCTTAGCAAGAGCCAATGCATCATAGGCACAGAGGTGCAAAAGTTTAAAGTTTTCATTTGAGAAGAGGATCCCTGGGCTGTGAGAGAGAAGCCAAAGTGTGGTGGAGATCCCAGGAAGTTAGAGATGCTAGGAATGTACATTTGCTGAGGAAAGCTGCAGGAGGTGATCAGAACACCGCAAGACAGAGGCCAGTTAGGCTGCCAAGCAATGCCACAGGGGTAGGGCTGCCCAAGCCCTTCTGAGCTCACAACTTCCCCTGGGGAATAAACATGGACCTAAAGGATTTAATGTTTGCCCTGTGGGGTTTCAGTACTGCTTTGGTTTTATTCTTGTCTGTCTGTCCCCACAATGCTCCTTTCTGGAATGGGAAAGTTTACTCTGCCACTGTATATTTGAAAGTGTTTTTCTTTTTGATTTTTATAGAGACTCACACATAAGCGTCTGCCTTGTGTCTCAGGAGAACTTGGACTTGAACTTTTCAGCAATATTGAAACTTTTAAGACTCTGGTAACCTTAAAGGATCAAATACATCTTGCATAATGAGATAGATATAAGCCTTGTGGGGGGCAAAGCAGAGTGTTATCAAAAATGTCTCCACAATAGTCTCATGTATTTTGAGGGTGACTGGATCATGGGGGCAATATACCCACCAGTGGATTCATCCATTGAGGAGTACAGTAGTAAATGTGACATTAGCAGGTAGCATATGGTTGGACTAAAATACGCACCACTAAATTTTCTAAATGTTAAAAATTGTATAGCTATTGATATCAAATTATATTCCACAAAGGAAAGAGTGAAATAAAAGTAACTAATTACTTACAGCCAAAAGTTCCCTATATTTTGGAGGAATGGTGATCTCTCTTTTACCTAGTTCCTCAAGGTAGGTGGAATACATTGGATCCTGGAAGAAAATTACACATATAGGGATATTAAATAATTAATAAGCTGAGAATATTATATCTATACTATGAAAGATCTCTTCCATTATTAATTTTCAAAACTATTAAGACTCAATGTAAATCATTAAAGATTCAATACTTTTCAAAGCTCAGAAGGTCTAAATTAATGAAAGTACCCACATTTAATTGCCTTAACTCAGATAATGGTAGCAAATACTTAAAATACCACACTACAGTTGAATTTTGTAAGCCCACTTTGTTTCAATATCTAATGTTTCCAGTACATACAAAAATTAAGTTAGCAACATAATTAATTTCTTTATAACCCAACATACAACTTTATCAGATTCTTAGTTATTTCTTATGTACTGTCTAAGAAAGCAAAATCATAGATAAGAGTAAATGTCCCCTATTTGGCCCTCCCCAATATGGTTCCCTTTCCTTGTTAGCCAGAGATAAACACCACCCTGAATTATAAGTTTATCATCTCCATTCATTTAAAGTTTAGCACATTTTTTAAAAAGTGTTACATATGTAAGTTTTCATAAACAATATGTAACATTCTTTTGCAAATCAAATGTTAGATACATGGTATTATATATATATATATAATTGTATTTATTTAATTTAACATTGATTTTATAATGTAACCATGTTAAAACATGAGCAATTCATTTTCAGCACTACAAAGCATTGCATATTATCCTGTCATCTATTGAATGAAATGATTTCCAAATGTTTGACCAGTTCTTATCACTCTTTGCACACAAGGGCAAGGCTTTCTCTGGAGGTTAACTCTGATTGAAGGGGACACACACCTTCAGCTCCCATCAGCTACAGGTGACTTGTCAGACTTTTACACATTACCGAATCTGATAGATTAAACATTATCTTTCCATGTTTTAACATTATTTTGCTAATTACTAGAATATCTAACTACTAGAACGTCTTTCCTGATTACAAAGAACATCTCATTTGCTCATTGCCTAATAAAGTACCTCCTAATCTTTTTTGAATCGTTTTTTCCTCACAGTCTTTATTCTTTACAAACTCTAGAAATCCTTTTTTGTATCTATTAAAAATATTTTCATCTGTATATGGCATATCTTTCACAAACATGATTTTATTGCTTTGCAGGAATCAGGAATAGAGGTGAGCTGAGGATGGCAAATATTTAGAAATCAAAATAAATTCAAGATGTAGGATGGGCAATATTTAGAAGGGAAAAGAAATTCAAATCCGCTACAGTTGAATCTTAAGGGAAAGTAAGTTTCTGACTTAATAAGTTATATGACAGTGCCAGTCTTAATACAGACAATCCTGTGTTTTCTGAATCAATGTAATTGTACAGCTACCATCACAAAAGCTATTTCTACCCCCAACACTAATCTTAAGTGGCTATTACCAATACTGACATCATCATCTTTCTATCCAAGCAACAGAACACTAGGTGTTTTCTGGGATTTCATGACCATGGCTTTTTTTTTTTTGGTCTTTTTGAGACAGGGTCTTGCCATGCAGTTCAGGTCTTGCCATGCAGTTCAAGCTGGCCGGTCTCAAACTCACAGAGATCCTCCTGCCTCAGCCTCCCGAGTACTGGGATTACAGGCGTGTGCCACCACGCCCGGCTTGAACATGGCTCTCTTACTCACTGAGTATGAATTTTCACAGACATCAGATCACATACCGAAATTTCTGGCCCAGTATATACTGTGTTATCTTCATTAGTTTCTTCAGGTTCTCCTAATGTGTCTATTAGGTCATCCAAAGCAGCATCAATTCCTGACTGGAAGTGAAAGAGAGTCAGATATTTAACTGTTATTTGCTAAACATATTTCACTTTTTAAAAACTTTTTAAATTTTTATTTAAAAAATATTGTTCCATGTAGAAAAACATCAAACACCAAATTTTTTTCAAATATCGAGATAGTTAAAATCCAGTCTAATCTGATTAAGTCCCAGAGTACAGATTAGGATTAAAAAGCATTTTTAAAAACCACACATTTAGGTAAGAATCACAATTTTCACTATTCCAAAGGCAATGACTACATGAAAAAGATATGAATTCATTGAAGCTTCCAATCCAATGTACTGGTAAAAAGGAAAAAAAAAAGAAAGCATTATGACCATGTTCTATAACAACATGGCTTTTGGTCCTTATTGTTTATCGATAGTTTTCCAGAGCTTTTCACAAAGAAATTAAAAACAAATGAAACAAAACAAAACAACAGACAGCACCTTTTCTACAAAAGAAATCCATTTCAACAATGGATTTCCTGGCATTCTTTCATACATTTAAGTTCTTTTGTGCACCTCTTGTCTAAAGATGTTTAAGAAACAGAAATTACCTGAAAGAGACCTTAAATTTACAACAGCTGACAGTTTATTTGGTCAGTATGGGCTTACATCAATATAATGAATGAGAAGATGCCTCCACCCCATTTTTGAAGTTAAGAATGACTCACTGTGAAAAATAACTTGTATCTGAAAGGGTAAAAATCTAGGAAAAGACCCTTTGCTATGTAACTCAAATAGTGTAAGACTGTTTAAAATGTTTGCCTTTTTTTAAACTATCATACTCCCACAACAATTTTAGGACGTGATCAATAATATGTGATATAAGAATTTAGATCCTATTAGCTTTAGATTGATTTTGGGGGTGGCGAATTTCAGAGTAAAGAAACACCTTATCTTCTTGAGTCAGACATCTGGTTAAAGAAGATGTATTTGCACAAGATAAACTGGACTGTAAACTCCATGATATGAAACTGAAGTTTTCAAAATAGAGGATTATAATATAAAGTGCTACACATATAGATGTGAAAGCTACACTTTCAACCACCCAGTCATGTTTGCTTAAAATACTAAGTCATTGAAATGCTCCTTTAAATTACCCCTCTTATGTTGTTTGCCCCCAAGAAATCAGGCTGAGATAAGTACAAGGCAAGAAGGTGAATATCTTATGTAGAAGTGCACTGTGATCTTACCTTTTCAGATGGTTTATCTGGTTTGGATTCAACTGGTGCAGCTGGAGTTAATGATTTCTTTTCTTTTTTCTATTAAGAGTTCAGAAAGACATTAAAAACTCCTTTTCACATGCATTCATAAAACAACATAATTACATGTTTTCAAATGAATTCATTGCAATTGATGATACACTGAACACCTGCTATGCAACAAATATTATATGTGTTATGTCCATTTTCAGAACTGCTTAATAATATTAATCTTAGTGGCATGGAAAGAAAGGGTCCAAGAAATTAAGTAACTCTCCTCAGGTTACATGGTAAAGGTCAGAACCAAGATTTGAACCCAAGACCTGTGTCTCTTTCTTCATATCCTTCTCCAAGTCCCACTGCCAGTCTTTGAAGAATGAACAGATCCTTCTTTATGCTAATCCCAGCCACTGTTCTCTGGGTCTTTGTTCCTACACATCAAGGGCCCCCCAAGAAACATCCCTTGCCTTTGTATCTCACTACTTTCCTCTTCATTTCCCTACGACGAGTCTCCCTCTCACCAGTGCCATAGTCCCTCTTTCAGAGATGGCCAGTGATTTTCCAATCAGCAACATCCACGCCTTTATCCAGGCATGATCTCTGCAATTTGGTCCTGAGAAACACACATCTCCTGACTCGTCCCTCACAGCTGCTGCAGCCCAGCACCATTCTGATTCTGCTCTGATGTTTTCTATCACCTCTGGATCTCTTCTCCTATGCCACCAAGGGCATGCAACTCTGCATGCTCCTGCCCATGTTGACAGTCCTGTCCAAAATTACCCTCTAGGGACAGAAGCAAAACATTTTCAGGGCTTGGCAGGTGACTTTGTTGGGATTAAGACAATAAAGGACCATGTGTCATTTGATGGTATCTGAATTCCATGATAGAATTAAAGAAATCACTGCAAAACTTACTAAACTTCTAGAAAAATGAATGTATAAGAACAGTTTTTGGTCCTCAGAACCAAGTATTTGGTTTCTGTTATTTCTTATGGAAAAAAATATGTTTAGTTCTCAAACTTTTTGGTGTTCAAACACAAATTTGGAACAAACTGAGTTCAACAACTGAGGTATCACTGTATTTATTTCTTGATGATACGATTCCTTGTGCAGCAAAGTGGAATGTCAATGTTGTTTTAATTTGCTTTAATAGCCAGAGATGGTAAACATTTTTTTTCACGTATTTATTGGCCATTTGTACTTTATTTCCTGAGAAGTGTCCATTAATATTAGTGGCCAGTTTTTGACTGGGTTTTTTACTTTGAGGGGTCTAATTTTTTGAGTTCTTTATATATTCTTGGTATTATCTGAGCTCTAGTTCGCAATTTTTTCCCATTCTTTAGGTTGTCTCTTCACTCTGTTAGTTGTTTCCTTTGTGTGCAGAAGCATTTTAATTTGACATAATCACACCTGTTGATTTTTGATGCTGCTACTTGTACAGTTGTGACTCTGTTTAGAAAGTCCTTGTCTATGTCTAAGATTTCAAGAGTTTTACCTATTTTATCTTCGAGCAAATTATTTCTGTTTTAATATCTAGATCTTTGATCCATTTTTAATTTCATACATGGTGAGAGATACGGGCCTAGGGTCAATCCCCTGCATGTGGATAGCCAGTTTTCCCCAGCACGATTTACTAAAGGCTATATTCCTTCAGCATATGTTTTTGCCCCCTTTGTCAAAGATCAGATAGCTCCATGTGTCTGATGTTGCTTCTATGTCCTCTATTTTGTTCCTGTAATCTAAATATGTATTTTTGTGCCATTAGCATGCTGTTTTAAATCACTGTAACTTTGTAATACAACTTGAAATCTGGGATTGTGATGCCTCCTGCTTTGCCCTTCTTGCCCAAGATTACTTTTGCTATTCTGGGTATCTTCTGGTTCTAACTGAATTTTGGAATTGTTTTCTCTGTTTCTGTGAGGAATGCTACTGGTATTTTGATCAGGATTGCATTAACTCTGTATATGCATTTTGGAAATATGACCATTTTGATAATATTAGTTCTGCCTATCTAGAAACAGAGATATCTTTCCATTTTCCAATGTCTATTTTGATCTCCTGTTTCAGAGTACTGTACTTTTCACTGAAGAGGTCTTTTCTCACACTGGAGAAAAGCCGTATTTACATGTGTGTCCAATTTATTTCACTTAAGGGTATGGTCCTCAGGGTGCACTTGTTTAGCTAGAAATGTCTCAAGCTGATCCTTCTTTATGGCACAGCAGTGAGAAATCTAAAGTGTAAATAAGGATGAAAATGTATAACAGATATTGTGAAATATGAAGAAAATGTTCAAATGGGAAGGGGAACTACCTAGCAGACAGGTAGACAGGAAGGGAAAAGAAGAAAATGAGAAAAAAGGGAAAAATGGAAACAAAGTTTTTATAAATTAGGAGGGGAAGAGGGGTTGAAGGGAAGGTAGGGAATGAGAAAAAAAGAATCAAATTATCTCATGTACATGCACAAATTCCATATGATGAATGTGATCATTATGTATACCTAAAATGTACCAATAAAGTTAATCAACAAAAGGGTATTATTTTTTGTGTGTTGATTATGTATCCTGCAACATTGTTGAATTTGCTTATTAATTCCAGAAGTCTTTCGGTAATTTCTTTTTTTGGATCTTCTATTAAAGGATCATCTGTAAATAATGATAATTTGAGTTCTTCTTGTGCTATATGTACTCCTTCTATTTCTTTCTCTTGCCTGATTGTTCTGGCTGTTTTGAGTACTATAACCAACAAGAGTGATGATAGTGATCATACTTGTCTTGTTCCTGATTTCAGGGATAGAGCTTTCAGAACTTACCCATTTAATATGTTAGCTATTGTTCTGTTATAAAAGACTTTTAACAGACTAAGTCTTTCTTTACCTATTTTTTCAGGATTTTTAGTATAAGCAGATGGTGGATTTTTTTTTCTGAATCAATTGATATGATCATGTGTTTTTTGTCCTTGTTTCTGTTTATGAAGTTTTTGTGTCTATTGATTTATGTACATTGAATTATCTTTGTATCCCTGTGATGAAGGCTACTTGGTCATGATGTGTGATCTTCATGATTCATTTTATTCTGTCTTCCAGTATCTTGTTGAGGAGTTTTGCATCTACTGTCATTAAAGAGATTGGCCTGCAGTTTTCTTAGTTGCGACCTTGTCTGCTTTTGGAATCAGGGTAATGGTAGCTTCTGGATTGAATTTGGAACTATTCCTTCCTTTCCAATTTCATTAAAGAATTTGAGGAATATTGGCCTTATATCCTGCCTGAATGTTAATGTAGTGACCTTTAGCTCCTCTGATTAGTTTTAGCTTGATGTGTACTTTGTCTGAGAATAGAATTGTGATCCTTATTTGCTTTTGGAGTCCTGGTGCATGGAACACTGTTTTTAGACTTTAACTTTTGGTCTATGAATTTCTTTTCGGATTAGATGAGTTTTCTGAATTCAGGAAACAGTTGATTTCTGTTTTTTGATCCATTCTGCCAATCTGTGTCTGTTAACTGGTAAGCTAAGGCCATTTACATTGACAGTTATTAATAAAAGGTGTTGACTTATTCCTGTCATTGAGTTCTTTTTGGCGTTAATTCTTTCATTTTTCCCTTTTCTTTTAACTACTCACCTTGCTGTATATATTAATTCCATCCAACTATGTAGTTTTGTTGGATTTACTGTCTATGTCTAAAATACACTCATGTATTTTTTTAGAATGCTCATCTGGTGATGACTTTCTTAAAGTGTTCTTCACCATGGCAAGTCCTTATTTCTCTATTAATTTTGAAAGATAGTTTTGTAGGATATATTAATCTGGGTTGAAAGTTATTTTCATTTAGTTTTTAAACATTTTACCCCAAGATCTTCCAGTCTTTAAAGTTTGTGCTCAAAAGTCTGCTGTAATTCTAGTGGGTTTGCCTTTGTAACTGATATTCTGATTTTCTCTGACAACTTTTAAGGTTCAATCCTTGTGGTGGACTTCTAGGATTTTTGCCTATGATGCAGGGAACTTCTTTTTTCACTGTAGGGATCTGATGTTCTTTAAGCCTTGCTCACCTGTATGTTGAGTTCTTTTGCCACATTTGTAAAGCATTCTGCTATGATTTCAGTAAGCTGATTTTGTCATTTCAAGTGTGCTGTCCTCTAATTTCTAACTCCAATTAGCCATAGTTTAGTCTTCTTAGCATCATGCAGTAGCTGCTGGATGAATTTTTCTTACTCTCATCATTTTTAAGGGTTCTCTAAATATATTATCATGTGATGCCATTTTGTCCATGATTTTTGAAACCCTGCCCTCACATCAGTTATTTATGTCGTTCATGAATTCAATAGAATCCTTATCGCTGAGATTTCTGTTCAGTGCCTTTTCATGGAATGTATTTGTTTGGTAAATCTGTCCTTCATAGTTTTAAAATTTTTGGTCAGTTTTTCCAATTTTTTATTTGTTTCTCCATCTCCATTGGTCAGTTTGTTATAAGTTCTACCATCTTTTGTCACCTTTGAGCTTGCTAAGTTTCTTTGCTTCTCCTTGAGTCATTTTTTGCATCTTGACTATCTGGTGTTTCCTCTTCATGGGCTCCCCTTGGATCTGCTTTAAGAGAGCTGAGAGTCTTTGGAGACAGTTTGTTGCCTTGTTTTTTCATGTTCTGTGTGTGTGTGTGTATGTGTGTTGTGTGTGTGTACATGTGCATGTGAGTGCACTGAATGCTATGGTCACACAGACAGAAGAGAATTTGTTAGTGTTTTGAAGATGTCTTTAGTTTTGTTCTGATTTGCAGTGATATATTCCTGGCTCTATTCATCAAAAAGTATTGTTTACTACTTCAAGCTACTCAGTTTAATTGAGTTGGACCTTGTCACTGTTTTATAAGAAGAGAATTTCTAGTGATGAACATTAAAACTTGTTTTGATAAATTTACCTTTTTAATGCCCCTTATAGGCTGTATTATATGGCCTTTTTTTGGTTCATCTGGGATAAGGAGCATGGGGGTAAGGAAACAGGAAAGGGAAAAGGAAAGGGGGTATGTCTGTGGGAAGAGAGGGAGATCAGAGAAAGGTCAGTAGGTAAAGAACA